TTTATTTATTTATTTATTTATTTATTTATTTATTTATTTATTTATTTATTTCAAATGATTATTGGATTTCACTTTGCAGGTGGTGAACATCATAGAGTCAAGAGCACGCTCTGTTGACCTGGCCACTCACAACTATTACGACTTGCTCTATGCATTCCATATCTTCAGAGGAAACTTCAGGAAAGGTGGGACTTTTAAATTAGTTTTTACTTTCAAACTTTAAACAGCATAAGCTTTAATTAAAATCTGAAATAAATAGCTAAATGCTTCTTCAAATACCATGTAGTCTGTATCTACAAGTCAATCTATGACAAGGTTTTGAGATCTGTTTTTAAAAAAGTATTAAGTGTAAACTAATTTCCATGAAGTAAACTGTATTTTTTGCCATAGTCTAAGTGATTCTAATGTTACTGTCAACTGAGATGTGCCAAAGGACCCCTTCAGCTTTCTGCACAAGTTTATGAAAAAAATATGCTCTATTTCCATATTCAATTCCATGCTTATTTTGAACCCTCTTTATTTTTTTCCCCTTTCAGCGGCCAGTGTGATGTATGAACATGGTATGCGTCTGGGTCAGGAACTGCCAGGTGTGAAGGGTTTGCAGAAGAAGGCCAAGTGTTACCTGGCCTGCATCCACTCCCTGGGGCTGGTAGACCCCAAGTATGCCTGGATTGTCAAACCTGTGCCTCTCAGCAGAAGAATGGTAAGTTAACATGACTTTTTTTCATAAACTAGCCATAATGACACCAATTTTAAATGCTTAGTAGTTTATCAGTATTTACTTTGGATAAAGAAAATTTTATTTATGAGTGACTTTTTAACCACTTTGATAATGCTGGATGTTATGTAATCATTGAAAGTTGGCTAATACCGTATCGAGCAGTGCGGCTTTCCAGGCTATAGTTTATAAAACTGGTCCGTGCAATACACAAAATTAAAGCATGGTACACATCGGTATTTAGAATATTCTCCACCCACTGCCTGTTGCCTTGTAGGTTAAATTAATGTTAAAGTCCTAAATGGATCTTTTTATTGATTCTAGGATGAGGAATTGCCTGGTGTCTCACCAAAGAGAGACCTTGAAGGAGAGGAGAGGGAGAGAGGTAAAAGCTGTGTGATAAAAATTTCAGAACTTATCCATTCTTAATTTTGTTTTTCTTGAAATATTTGCAAATAGAACCAAAACAAGATGTTCACTATTCTAAATCATATCTTTCTCAAATGAGAGGCCAGTTTCTTGATTTTTTTTAGTTGGTATGTAATTTTATGAAATTCTTTTAAATATCCAGTTAACCAAAAAATGGAGGTTATAGAGTTACCTGATATAGAAAAGGAGTACAGATTGGTACATGCTAGACTGAAGCTGCTGCAGAAAGGAGATGACCCAGCATTAGCAGCAGGTAAAGGAAATATTTTCCATATAAAACTACCTGAAATCTGTTGAATTAGCAGTAGTTGAGTGGCAGCAAGTAAACAACAACAACAACAACAAAAGTTCAAGATACAAATTGTATATTATATTTATATTATAGGTATGTTTTTGAAGTAGCCACCTGCAGTAAGGCATTGTGCTAGAAAAGCTTTCATGTTTGATGAAGTTTATATATCTTATAATCTTACTCACAAACTACCACCTTACTAGTATATCTTTTTTGCCACTGCACAACAGTATTGTATCCTTAAATGTTTGTAACTTGAATGTAGGTAAAGTGGGGGGTCAGTCTATTACACATAGGCTCTATTCAATAAAGTCTTTTTGTAAAATAATGCTATCTTGTGGTCTGTAAAATAGTAATTTTATCATGTTTATAATAAATAACATGTTATAGAGCTTTAAAAGTGTCCATTTTTCTTCTTTTCATGACTGACTTCTGTCCAAGTTATTTGTAGATATTTGTATAATATTCTTTGTATTGTAGGACCCTCTTTGTCTGCCTCAGAGACAGTTGGACTGCTTGTCAGTGCAGGCTTGTTTGATGACGCTGTCAATGTGTGCAAGCTGTTTAAGATGTCTCTAACTCAAGTATTTGAAGGGCTGGCTTTAAGGTGAGGCTGCTTCATATCATGCTTTTATATATTGCTGTTTTAATGATAAAAAGAATGTGGGAAAAATTTCATTTGATATTCACTTTATATTTTGTGTGCCCTTCACATATTTTATTGAAGATTTCTTTTCAGTAATTTGCATTGAATGTAAAAATTGTTCCTCATCTTTTTGTTATCATTTTGTAATTTTTTATATGCTTCATGCTTTTTCCTTGTGGTTTTGTTATGATAAGTAATAAATACAGTTTAATGAATAAATAATTATTAATAGCTTGGATGAAATACCTTTCACTGTTTAAACAGGTGTATCAATCTGTCTCAACATAATTATCAAAAAGATGTGGATTTTACCACTGAAACCTGGGGCTGGCTGGCTGCCAATGACACGGGCAATGTGAATTCTGGCAAAGAAACAAGGTAAAAATTTGTATTTGCTTGCCTCCCTGCTTTAGAATGTGCTATTTTATAATAGTTTATAATGTAGAATTTCAACATCTCTTCATTTTGATACATTTATTTAAAGTATTTCTGGTGTCTTGTAATTCAAAAATTAAACAAAACTTACCTGTAAGTTGATGTTTGATTGTAATTCTATGAGACAATTATAGGTGAGGAGATGAAATGAGAATGCACAGTGCGCATGCTCGTCAAGTTTTGAAGCATTTTTGCACAATTTCTTCAGAAGTTTAATATTAAACTTCATTTCCCTATAAAAATCTGCATCAGTATTATCATAAGTTATGTAATTAGGGAGGGTGGGAGAGGCATTTCTGAAAAACCACGGTCTCTAAAGGACTTCCTAATAACTAGCATGCAATCAAGGTCATTTGATTGGATAGAGGATGAACTTTCTCTGAAAACTGCAGCATCAAAGTTTCTCCCACCAGTGGTAAAATCAAAGGAGCTTTCACCAGCATTTGCATCAACATTGGCCATCGTATTTGTGTTGTCCACAGTGGTACCACCATAACAGCTCTTGCTTTGTCTGTTTTTATTCTCTGCAGCATCCTCTCCCTTAAACCGCTTGGTCATATCCGCAAATTTGCTTAGAGGATCGGCCTCATTCTCAAGAGGTCACTTGGCATTAGAACACCTACTATCATTGTCAAAGTTATAGTCAAAAGATGTGCTGTTCACAGTTTCCTCAATATCCGTTATCCTAGAGGATAACACTTCCAATTTGACATCGTTAGATGTCAGTTTTTCATTCAGACTTTGCAAGTATTCTAGAATCTTCGATTCTTGGTTAGTTGCGGCTTTCGCAGCAACACTAGTGGTCTTTACAACAGCACTGGTTGATTTCTTACTACTTCTAGCCACTTGTTTCTCTTTAGAGTCTTTTTCTGCTGTCTCATTTTTCTCCGACATGTTGGAAAAAAGATGCATTGTCAAAAAAGATAAAATACACCAAAATGTATTGACAAAAAATGCCAAAATACACACACACAAGAAATTTCTTGTTAATCACGCGCTTCCCTCCTCGTGCTACTGACGCGCATGCGCACTGTGCATACTCATTTCATGACAAACCAATATAATTGTTTGATATGGAATCCCAGTCTGATCTGATTCTGTTATGAGAGCATTTTTTCTGAACTTAATGCATAAACAGTTTATAGTGCTTCTTTTTCAATTGTTGTTTGTATTTCAGTGCTGCTGATCAAGCATGGAAACTTCTCCAGACATATTTAGCCAAGCATGAAGACGGCTCGTCCAGATATCACCGCTGTGTGGCCATCAAGCTCCTTGGCCATGGTTACAATCTACCAGACTGGATGCTGGTGTCCTATAAGGTGAGTGTCATCATTTTCTTACATGGGTTTTACACAATTTTCAAAATCTTTTCTTTCCAATAGTATTGACTTGTATGAAATTAATTTATTGATTAATCATTATATAAAAAATTGAATTAAAAAAAAATAAAGAAACAGTTTAAAAATAAATAAAGAAGTGAAAAAATATCATTGATAACATTTATGAAAAAAATTAACTTTTTGATCTTTATGGAAAAATCAGGGACTAAATGCAACATAATAATTTTCACCATTTCTTCTGATTTAAACTTTATTATTTTTTTTATATTAAATTTTTAAAAAATTTTCGTACTTGCAAATTTCTAGGTGGTGAATGCTCCAGAACTTATACGTTTATATATTGATTATGACTTACTTGAAGAGGCAACCTACTTGGCTATGGACTACATAGATGCAGTCATGGGTAAAGGAAAGGAATATTTTGGGTTAAAGGTATGTCACATTGAAGAAATCAAAAGTTGGGGAGTTATTTAAGTGACTGTTGCAGTGTTTTGTTTGTCTTGTGCTTTATACTTTGCGTTGTCTGGTCTTGGATTGAGTGGTGTCCTCTTATGGAGGTGGATGATTGGTGTCCAGTTGAATGGAATATGTCACCATATATAGGTATGGTTTGGACACGCCCGGTATTTTACAGTAGGGGAATATGTGGAGGCAAGATTGTTATTACGTACTTTTTAGTTATTTAACGTATGTGTTTCATTGTAAATTCTTCATTATATTATTTGTATTAAGTTGAAATTTTGATATTTATGTTTATTCTTTTACTGTCATTTGTTTCACTTATAATTTGGGTTCACTGTCATCATCTAGTCTCTAGACATGTGTGTAAATAAATGTATTCCTCCATTGAATATTTGTGTTGTCGTTCACTAGTGTCCATCATTCTATTTAGCCGTACCCTACCAACTGGGTTGTTTTAATGTAGCACCTAATTGGAGACTTTTCAGTTTAAGTTTTGTATTGAAAAGATAAGTACATATGATGTAAAGCTATACATTAAATGAGCATGTTTTGATTTATAATAAATTTCACAACAAATTTTGCATAGTAAAGTTGCATTTTCAGACCTCCCTCAATGTGACTTCCCCCAGTGTCTGGTTGCCATATACTAGTATAGATCAGCTTCTTCATGCACTGAGAGAGGTACATACAGACAACACTTATCTTCAGGTGTGTATAGGTATACGTAAATAATGATTTTATATTTACTTTTGATCAACAATTTAGGACAAAATTAAGGATTTCTTTATTTCTGGTAGTAACATTATTTATTATCAAATTAAGAAGTTATCAGCAATTAAAACAGACACTCTTTTATTATTTACAGCTATTGAACAGTTTTTTTATGTTTTTTCTATCATTCCACTTTACAGCTTTACCAAGAACTTTCAGAAAAGTTAGATATTTATCACCACAATGTGGAGAGAATTTCAAGAGACAGAATCGATGCTGCAACAAGGAGAGCCAGTATGAGATTGAGCAGCTTGCACTGATCTTTGATTCTGAAATCATTTCCTGGGTTCAGGAAATTTGAGTTCCTTATCTCCATTTCGAAAGGATAAAAGACTTGAATGTCATTTTCTACATGTACAAAAAACTGTATCAAGTTACCAAAAGTCACCAAAACAACTTCCAGGTATTTGTGTTTGTAGTACCATCTCATCTGTACTGCATTTATTTCATTGAAATTTATGAAAATTAAAACAATATTGATAATAGTGTACAAATCATGTTTGTAAAAATGTCAATAGATATATTTTACCCACCACTTAGGTAGGGCTTTTTCAAATAAATAATTAAATAAATTCTTTGTAATCAAATGAACCTTCATTTTTTTTTTATACAAAAGTATTATATTAAGTCAAGTGACTTCATTAAATAGGATTAAAATTAATGGTAAATTACATGCAGCTTACTCCAAGCCATTATACAAATGTTTCTCACATATTGCATGTAAAAGCCATTCAACAGGCAAAGAAATGGTAACCATGCTTTTTACAGATGATAAAACAATGATATTTGGTAATACTATAGTGACAAACATTCTCCCTGTTTATCAAGTCTGCATCGGTAAATAACTGAACACAGGCAAAACAGTGGACTGTCCTCAAACAAACTGCGGTGTAAAATGCCTTAATGCTTAATAAGGGCTATATTTCCTCAAGAAGTCCTGAAAATAAAATTAAGGTCTGATCAATGTATGTACCAAGCAGAATTGGGGGCACTGGTGGAATATTGCTCCTCTTTAACAGTTATACTACATAAACGGTCACCAAGTCAGTTCCTTAGAAATTTGATTAAACCTAATTTTCATTTAAATTATTACATATAAGTTTTCAGTTATGAATCATATTTTAAGTAAAATTTTGATAGCAAGCAAAATATATATATATATATATATATGAAGAAAATACTATATATAGTATTACCTTATCATACTCGGAGCCAATAACCTCCCTTAGGTGAATTATATACTGAGCTGCAAACTCAAACACTGTGGCTTTGTCAGTCTTGTCACTCAAACCAGGCACAAGTTGGCGTAAAGCATGACAGGCTTCAGATATCCTGGCTCTGAAAAAGACGTTTGAATTTTTAACAAGAATCCATCTGACCTTTTAGGGCATAAGGTTTAAATGGACCTTCAGAAAGTTGGAAATATTGCACAAATGGAAATTACTTTATAAAAAAGATGACTTCCCAACACCCTTAAGGCCATCACGACCCACCACATTTCAGTAACAACTTGAGATGTTAAGTATATGCTACTGCTTACACCCATGTATTTTGGAGGTGATAACCTACATATCCGTAAGCAATTTCCAGTCTATTTTTCATTATAGTCTAATTTTCTCACAATCAACACAAAATGAAAAATTATTTCAAGACCATAAAAGGAAAAATAAAAGTTGTCCCAAAATAATGGAATAAATAGCAACTTGAAACCCTATTTTATCAACATACTTTGTTTGTGTGTGGCATCACCTAGTGATAAAGTACATATCGAAGTTCCTGATAAAAAATCTGAGCCTGCAATAACTTGAGGGCTTTGATTTTTAAATTCCAGTCTTAAGGAAATATCTGGAATTTTCTATTGATGTTGAAGAACTAAGAAATACAATTTAAAAAAAATGCAAAACAACATTAAAACATGACCTAATGATAAAATACCTTCTCTTTCTCTCTTTTGCATTGTGATCTCCTCTGCTGTCTCTTTCATTAGACCAAGTGTAAAACTCCTGATCCATTGGCCCTGGCAGGATGTTTTGATATCGGAGTTTGAAATCAGAAGTGGGAGTGTTGGGTGGAACAACAGGGAAGTCTGGGGAGGCACCAATGTTGTTCCTTATGCTTCCATTCTTGTCAACCATGGTACTGTGCATGGGTGTAACTGAACTTGTACTTTGAGATTCACTTCCTAGGTCACTGTGCATCTAATTTGGAAATTGAGAATGAAACAATGAACTGATATATTATGTACTGATCAAGAGACTGGTCAATAACCGACTAAGACATACTCTTAATTTAAAATATTTTTGACAGTTTTAATTGATCATTTGGACAAAAACATTAATCTTAAGTAAAAAAAAAAANCCAATAACCGACTAAGACATACTCTTAATTTAAAATATTTTTGACAGTTTTAATTGATCATTTGGACAAAAACATTAATCTTAAGTAAAAAAAAAAAATTTTTATTTATAATATTTGTACCTGATCAGCAAATTTGAGTGCCTGACGCACATTCTGGTAGATATCAGACTTAGTTGGCTGAATCGGTTGAAGTGGCCTTGATGGTGGTGGCGGTGGTGGTGGCGGTGGTGGTGGCATAGATGAGGCAGAATACTGGAGACGATATGGCACATGAACATAGGAATATGGCCCAGCCATCATCTGTGGAACCTTCAGAGGTTTGGGCCCTTTGCTTGTTAACTCTACTGGGCGTGGGGTACCAACATATTTAGTACTGCTGGGTACTGGAGCATACATGCTTTGAACAGGAGATGGTTTAAGTACTGGTGGCTGGAAAGCTGAAAACCGTCAAATTGGTGAGTTATTTTTAAAAAAATCAATTAAAAGATTGCATTTATATAAGTGCTGGTGGCTAGAGGGCTGAAAACCATTAGATTGATGAGTTATTTTTAAAAAATCAATTAAAAGATTGCATTTATCCATTAATTAATTATTTGTAAAATTTGTTCAATTATATACATGTATATATATATATATTAATTTATGAAGTACTTGCTTCTTTTTTGTTTTAGATCTCAATCTATACCTTTCAAAGTTGTGTCTCCAGGAGTACCAGTAAGTGGCTGTGATTGGATACATGGCTTCAATCTACTTGTCATAGTGCTTGTTGTTGAGCTGTAGAAATTTGTAGCAGGCAAGCTATATTCCCCATTGACACTTTGGTTGCAAGAACTGGTATATGCAGGAAAACCAGTATGGTTGGACTGTATCAAGTGCCCAAGGTTGCTCAAGATATTCCTGTAAGTTGATTTTTTAAAAATTTTAGATGGTTTAGCAATTGCCAAAATACAAATGATACACTTAAAAGTTGAATAAAATCTACATAATTCAAATTTTGTTAATGTTGTATTTTCAAAAGATCAAGTTTCAGTTGCATTCCAACTACTACTTCAATTTAGCAATAGAAAAAGTGCTGAAAATCTGAACATCTAGTTAGTGGATTAAAATCAAGTAAACTATTTACCCATTTATGTACATATTTATTTTTCCATTTTATAATACCACTTACCAAGCTTCTTCTGCTGTAGACGCTGATGGCATTTCATTATTGTTTTCATCAATGGCAGAAAGTGGAGTTGGTCTAAGAACATGCTGATGCAAATCGGAAAACTGTTGTGGCTGTTGCTGTTGTATTGAATTATGAGTATTCATATGGTTTGACATTGCATTTGTTGTCTCTGATACACTGGTAATTTGTTGCTCAGATATGTCACTTTTCTGAGCAATGCTAGTCATAACATGTGTTGCCTCACATTTGCTTGCAGTTGGTTGTTCAGTAAATCCAAAATCGGGGTTAATGCCAGCCATTATATATGTTGCTCCAGCAGCTTTTTGGGATGAACCTGCATTTTCAGAGAATTCATTCTGAGGAGGATTTTCCACAAGAATTCCCGCAGCAAGGGACGCTCTTAGTGAAGCTTGAAACAGAGTAGGGACACTCATAGATGGTACATTTTCAGTTGCACGTGGAGAGTCTGATGATTTTCTGTGCTGGGTTGAATCAGCTCCCTCACTTCTGTTATCATCTGGATTTTCTGTTTCCGATTTTGGAGTTTGAGGGCTTTCAGTGCTTTGTTGTTCATTAGAATGCTCATCCAAGCTGAAAAGAATCAATCTTTAGACATGATGGATAATTATATTATAGAATTTAACTGCATTTCTTTATTGCATCTTCCAAAATTGAGACCATACATCCTGGAATCAAAGATAAATAAAATGAAATATGATTGATTAATTAGAAATGCAGATAGACTGAGGCAGGTATACTATTTGGTGCATCCCCCCCTCCCCCTCCCCCCCCCCCCCCAACACACTCCAAGTAATTTTTTGTACACTTTTATCTTTTAAAAGTCCAATAAATCTTTTCAAATATAGGTAAGATTAACCTTTCAATGGTCCCATGTCAATTTTTAACATTTTTTAATCGAATTTTAACGAAATTGACCTACCCAAGACTGTCGTCTGCTTGTCTTGATTCGGGCGCGTCTTGCGCACTTTGTGCAAGATTTCCGGAATTCTGACTATTTTCATCCGTTTCACTTGTTAAGGAAGGTGATGATTGTCTTTTAGGAATATCTTCTGGCTGTTCAAAACCGAAATAAGAAAACCCTGATTCTCCGCTTTGGTCGGGATCCCACACAAAACCCATACTTTGCGAATGTGCAGGAGTGTTCTCCTTCTCTTCATTGAATTCAGAGGCATCTTCCGAACTGCACAAGCGTGCTTTTTTTGGTGATGGTTCGAGGTGACTAATATTTGAAAGGTTTTGATCTCGTCCACTTGTTTCTTTGTTTGCTTCATTAAAATTTTCCATCAAATACCTTTTCTTGGGTGAAAAAACGTTCGCGGGCAATGCCTCCCGATCCCTTGCTCTGTCAATGTGCTGCAAGAGCGATGCCATGCTCCTCGAGTTCCAACCCGAAGAAATATTATCGCAGACATTTTCCAGTTCCCTTTTCAGTTCGGGAGTACTTATCGAACTTTGTTTTGTTGACATGTTGGAAACCTCATGAGCGCAAGACGGATACGTGTGCTCACGTTCAAATCAAATGCGCTGCACTACTAAACGCGCAGACGTGCAACGCTATCAAACGTCATCATTTCAGCTGGATATGTTTTCCCGGGTATGGCATCGTTTACATGTTGCTTAGAAACGGCGAAGCAGCACAACCAGTCGCAATGTTCTTGGTGTAGCTGTGACAAGCACAACTAAAGCAATCAATACATAAATATCACGTCGCAGATCAAATAATGAATGTCCCGCAAAGTTTTTCTTATCTTTCTAAATTCAGACACATTCCCCGCTCCCCCCCCCCCAAAAAAAAAAACAACAAAAACTGATGTTGATATTTTCTTTGTGCAGGTCCAGTCACTCAGAACCAAATGTTTAATTAGAAATGGTATAAAATCTCGAATCCAAGTGAAGGGATTGTTCGAGCAATGATTCGTGACTTTTTTCCAAGGACAATTCGATTTTGATTAGAGGAAAATTCCAGATAGCATAATTTAAACGGCTGTATGTAATGTAAATGTTAATGAACATCCTTGCTCTTGATATTTTTGTCCGTCTTATGAATTTCCTTTTTATTTTTATCTTATTTATTTACTTATTAATTTTATTTTATTTTATATTTTGTCCTCCGTGTAAAGATAAAAAGGGGAGCGACATGCGGTCGACAAGATTCTTTCCTTTTTGATATCCAGTTAGAAATTACAGACAGCAGCAAGGAATCCCCCTTACAAACTTCTGAGGAGTATCAACTGAGAAACTCTAGTTTTCTGGCGTAAATCAAAATCATCAAAACCACTAAATTAGTTTTGCGGTTTCCGCGGTTTTATTGTAATTTGCCAATTGTAACTTATATTTCTCTTTAATTTCCAGATAATGACCAAACTGTTTTGAAGTTTTGTCAATGATACAAAAAGCGTTTTTAAAAAGGGGGTCAACAAAATAACACCAAACTTGTAGAAAAAACAATAAAGTCACAGAAAATTTTTTTTTCTATGATCGTATACAGTTAGCAAGCTGACACCCCTTTCAGTCCCCACTTTGGTATCGCCCAACCACTTGCACTAAGCAAAACCGTTACCTTAGAAACAAAGCTCGTGGTCCCCAAGTCTGGCTAGTGTGATAAAGTGTGATTGAAGAATTCACATCATTTATATAATCTTTCCCGGTGGGTCACACTCCCGATTTATCAATCGCAAAGTCAATACGAGATACCAATTCGGTGACATAGCTTGAACTAACATTCGAACTGCTTGTTCAGTGCACTGCACAGTGAGCCGACCACCGCAACGTTAGAGGTATGGGGACTGATATGGTACTCACAGAGAAAACCGAAACGTAAACCACGCTCAGGAAAACGAACTTATTAACCGTATCCAACAACTTGTACTAAAGGATGTCGTAGTTTTCACCATGCTTCGACCTAATTCATTTGTAATTCCACCGAGGAATTCAAAGTCGTGCGGCTGCGACTTTACTGCGAACCCAAAGTTCATGACGAAGTTCCTCAGGTGAAATCGACAAGTTGAAATTAACAACGATCGACAATCATGTCAGCCAGTACCGTCTCGAGCAACGTGGTTGAAACCAGTGGCAAGAAAACTGGAAGTAGCACAAGTTCCAACACGGATTTGGGATATTCAGACACAATTTCCATCAGCTCCGGGTCGACCGCCACTACGGTGAACACCCGTGTGTATAACCTATGCCAGAAAGGGGATTGGAGCGTCCTCGAACAAGTTCTACGAACTCTAGAGAAGGGAAGTCCCGAAGCCGCTTGTTCAGATGAGGTATTTTATAAAAATTGATGCATTTTATGCAATTTTTTTTCAAATTCAAGTATAAAAGTAGGCCTATCAAACGCAATTTTATTTTCATGGAATATGAACAAATTCAATAATGAGCGTGGTAGGCCTATCTGCGTTGTTGAATCTGACAATTTGTGATTATTATTAGATGTGAAGGTGAAATATTAGAAATTCCTTTATCTAAGCTGGCTTGCTGCTTGAGTGAATAAAGAAAGCGACCCCCACAAAGCTCTTTAAAAGAATTTATTAATGTACAAATTAGCACAGTAACTATGAAAAACAAACCATTTTCTTTTTACTATTGTGGTAGATGATTATATATATATATAGATATCTGCAGTGGATCTGTTATTAACATTGTTTATTATATTCATATTTTAAAGCATTTAAGAAACATATATGTAATGAGGTGCTTAAAAACTGGCAATTTCTCAATTATTACTTAATGCAATTAACTTTGCCAATGCATCCATATGTACTTGTCACCATGACCAAAAAATATAAAGGGTCATTCTTTGGGAGAAGGAATTACATTTTATTTTCACTGATTAACTTTTAGTTACTCTTTTGAAAAAATTGTTAAATACTCAAGTTTTTTATAGTTTCTAATTAAAGAAAAATCCAATATGAAGCCAATTTAATATTGTTACCATAAATAGACATAGTTTGTTTCCAGGTTTCATACAGCATGTTGATTTTACTCCCAAAATCATTGTGTCAGAACATTTTCCCAGATTGAGTTACTAAATACATGTATTTTCCATTAAAGATATTCTGCAGAGGCACTCTGATAGCTCACACCTATAATTAATGATACCTTGATTATCCTTTTGATAGAGGTGAAAGATGACGCTCCTGAATTAATAGGAACAGTTGATCATGCATTTTTTTTATATTGGCATGTTTTCTGCATCGGGGTTTTGACAAATGGTTTGAGGCTTGGTTATTAACATCAGCATTTTTTACATAAATTATTAAATACGTAACTTCTCTTGAACATTTTGTTTGAAAAGCTATGAGAAAGAAGCTTATGATGGTTTTAATAAAGAAACCGACAGTGCTAAAAATGTATGAATGAAAAACAAAAACCAACCACACTGTAGGGGGTACAAAATCTAGGCATTTTTTTTATTAGGTAAACAATGTTGTTAGCATGTTTGTTTACGTTTACAAAGGAAAAAAATACTGGTTTTAATTATTTTCTTGGTGTCTATTCCTTTCACAATCAGATAGGAAGTAAATTCCCCTGAGAGGGTGTCAAAAAAAGCCTCCAATACATAAAAGCCCCAAAAAGTCAACAATGAATCTCATCAGTAGTGCAGTTTGTTAAAGGAAATGGAAATTATTGTGTTTATAGTATGTTGCATATGATGTGGAATTGCCTGCTTGTTTAATCCATTCCAGTTAATCCCTTCAGTCTTGATCAATCAGTAATCCTGTCTTGTTGCAACAGAAATCAATAAAACATGCCTGCACCATCGGCCTTTGGTCCCCATATTAATAGCCTTGTTTGAAGATTGAGGAAAATATTTGAATGGGATGCTTTTTTATTTGGTGTAAAATAATTAATCTTTATAGTGGCAGTGAAATTGGAAAAAACTGGGTTTGACAGCCTCTATCTCTGTATGTTGAATTTAGGTAAATGATATCCTTGTGAGTGCATTTTTTCTTTCACCATGGGGAAGTTATCCCATAGCGATGAAAGAAAGTGCGCAAACTGTTTTTGAGAGAAAGCCTGTGACATGTTATTAAAATCTTGCAATCTTGCTTAAAACTGGAAATATTCCAGTACCCCAAAAACTAGGGAAACAATACCCTAGACCAGGTCACTTGTTTACACAATGGGGTCAGTTTACTGTTTTTTGACTGTTCAGTCAGCTAGAGTATGAAACACTCTTTCAATTTAAGTCACATTCAGAACTGTTCTAACTTGGACCAGATGGAGCTGTCAAACAAGATAAAAAAGAAAAAGACCTCCCCCCCTCCAAAAAAAAGATAATAATAATCCAAATAAAAATCTATCTAAAAATTCATGCTACACAATCAGTCCAAAAAGTAATGTCAAGTGACAAATTGTAATTTAAGTTAGTTATGAAACTCTTAAGGTTTTAGGTATGCACCTTTAAGTAGACTGCCCCAACTTGTTTTCACAACTAAAACACTGAAAGTGTAATTTGACTCTAAATAGAACCCCACACAGCACCATTTGTTCCTTGCATCCATGTGTTTGTTTCTTTAATGTAAATGAAGCTGATATCCAATTGTCCTGTCTTTTTCACTTTTCTCAGAGCCATTTTTGCACTGCAGACATCTTTCTTTTGATCACACAGTGTAAAACATCTGTAGGAGCAATCAGATTTTGTTTTCAATTTAGGACCCATCTGAAGGGGGAAAATTGCAACAATACACAGCTGAGGTTGCCCCTGGAATTTATAATCTTTTTTGTAAAGGGCAGCGTAGAAGCTGTTTTTCATTATCTTTAGAAACACTGCACTGACTTGCAGTGCTCTGTCTTGTTTCCATGTGAAACATCACGGAGCGTTTGTCTTCGCAATGGCTGAGGGAATTTCAGACGAAACATCCTCGGAGTTTGATCCTCTTTTTAAAAAAATCCACTCCGCTCTCTGGACACTTAGTGGAAGAGAGAGTTGTGGAAATTTGTTTTTAGCACAGACTTCTGCATCACAAGTGAGTATGGAGATGTAGTGAAAGACTTTTTCGTGGCACTCAGAGTCTCCTTGATAGTTTTTATGCCGGAATTTTTTTTCTTTTGTCATAGCTGTCCTCAGCAGTTGCCACAACTTGTATTTGTGACTCGCTAATTGTTAAGAGCAATTTCAACAGCATTTCTTTTCTTCAGCTTCAAATTGTGTATTTTATGTTATTTGGACTAGTTTGAGTAAGAATCAATTCCTTTAGTTGCTTAGCACAGGTATTCTTTTGCACTAACTTGTTTTTGACCTTAAGGCAAATAAAAGATTAAACGCCAGATTTTTTCTGGTAATTTCATGGCTTCTTCTGCAGGCAATCTTGAACAGGAGATGGAAGCAACTGTGATATTGTTTGGTGACCTCACTGTAATGTGTTTTTGAATGGTCATTATTTTTTGCTTAAACTTTCAGGACACAGGCATCACCCCACTGATGGTAGCGGTCAAGGAGAACAAGCTGGTTATTGTGGAAAGGCTCATAGACCTGGGTGTCGGACTCAATGATAGAGCAAAGGTGGGTGTTTCTTTGATTAGTGGTTAATAACACTTAAACCACAACAAAAGCTCAGGCACATTTGATTTATGAAATATCCTTTAAAAGTGTTTTGTTAATAATACCCCAAAAAGATGATTACATAAATTTTGAAAGTCATTTGGGCTCTTGTCAGAAAGTATGTTTGTGTGAGTTGATACAAATGATAAATCTATTTCACAGACACAAATGCATAGTTTGGGAGTGCTCCATATGTTACACAACATACAATGTGATACAGCATAAGATTTTGTAGTCTGCATGAGGACTGACATTTTTAAAAGGGAGAGGGAGCAAGTAATTGCAAAGATAAATTTTGAAAGAATTTTTGTTGAATTGTTTGAAATATGGTTATGATTGCTGATCATGAAGAAGCACTCCTTTACAAATAAATTAAACTTTGGGGGGGGGGGGAGAGAGAGAGAGAAAACTTCAAATAAATCTTTCTTCCTTTTATTGTTTGACAAAATATAAATGTTTTCATGACATTAGTTTGCAATTTTATCGCAATTTTAAGACTAACATTAAAGTTATAGTTCATTAATGAGTTTCAAGTAAAATTGATTTGGGTCTAACTTCAGAAGAAAGCAATTGATTACAATATTGTAATACAGATATCTTTATAAATGTAATATTTATTACTTTCAACAGTGTTCATTGCACAAAGAGTTGGGTCAGGGATTACTTGGAGGGAGGGGGGAGCTAAAGTTTTTAAAAAGAGGAAACTACTGAAAACATAAGGGTAAAGTTTGGAAAAAAAAACTTTTTCCAGTGCCTTCACTTCAAAATGATTATGATACTCATAAGTACTTTTTTCTCACAATTATTGAATAGCAGAAATCCTACGCAAAGCAATAGCAAGGCAATGAAATAGGAGGAGCAGGAAATACATGTAATCTTTACATAAATATTAAAGTTGAAAACCTATTCAACTTGAGTGGGTACGTGCAAGGCAACACTTTTATCTGAACGGGTCATAATATTAGGGTATTACCATAACACAGTGATTGTGTGTGCAGATTAAGGGAGATTCAAGTGCCAAACTGTTGCAAGGAGAAGCCCAAACAAAGCAAATTTGGATATATGTTTGGCCATGTTCACATTATAGGGACATGGTCCTGTTTGTTTTCAGTCCTTAAAAAAAGTAAAGTGGGATATTAGACAGCTAGGACTTTTAATTGGTTAAATAGCATTTTTCAAAGAATCTAAAAAATCAGTTAGACCATGTACGACTTGTTATATCAATTTATATTGGTAAAACCAAAAATGTAAAACATCATACTGAGCTATCCAAAGCAAAAAAAAAAAAATTTGGAACAAAGCCTTGGCACATCCTGCAAGCAGTTTTGGTTGCAGTCAAGGCTGAAACACACAGCTTAAATCCATTCAACAGCTGCTTTATTTCAGATGTTCAGCTGAGAATTGATAGAACAAAACTGTATTGTGCAGGCAGCAGTTTTATTGAAATTCAGACATTGAAATTCAAAAATTATAGAAATAAATATGGATGCTTAGACTTATTCAATTAGGTTTTTCGGCCAAATGGGAATTCAACATTAGAGAATGCTTACTAAGCTCTGTGACTGTGAAATTATTTTGAATCCAGGAAAATTCACCATTGTTCACTAGGTTACCAAGCAAAAGGTGTTTAGTGAGGCTTTGTAACTATGTAGAATTTTCACCTTTATCATGATGGAATAATTATTTGATTGAAACTTCTGATAAATGTGATTAAAATGGCACACCTTCTCCAGACATTTCTTTTCTCATAAAGACAGAAGAAACAGTTAAGTAATTATAAGGTACCAGTTTTTTGACAAACCTAGTCAATTATTATGACGTTTTGAAAGGAAAAGGGCACAATATCAAATGAATGAAGTATTATATATAGTATTAACTCACTGAGAAGTTCATCAATGTGACCTTAGCAACCGCAGACTTCCAACTGGTGCACTGTTTTTATTATATGTGCAAAACCCATTTAAGAGAAACTTGAACTGAAAATGTCACAGACCAGACTCAACTTAAAGCCCTTTGGCACAGTGTTTACTCTGTTTGACAATCACCTCATAAATGATTGCTTTTAGAGAATAACATATGGATAAATCCTTTACATGAAAGAAAAATATTATTATTTAAAGTAAACTTTGTCCCTTAGTCGAACCCAAAATCTGCAAACATCTGTATTTTTCTTACATCTGTAATTCTCTTCTTTAGATTTATACGCTTAATGCCTCGTATTAGAATTGAAATATGGAGGAAGCTTGTCAGACTGCAAGCCAGAGCTTTGAAAAATACATCTATTTCAATGACTAGTTGTTTAATGTTAGTAACGCAGTGATCCTTAATAAACTTTGTATTTAAATCGCATTTATTTTGACTTGATGACTTTATAATTCAGAGAGTAATACTAAGCAACCAATGTGTGTAGTTATTTACAAGTACCTGTAGCTGATAGATGCCCATATTGAAGGCAGGACCCCCGAATGCTTTCTGTTGGCGTTGCCTGAATAGGGTTTGTGTGGGGCTATGTCTTATCTTGGAAAGTTAGCAGATAAATAGCTGGGGACACAAAGTTCACCCAAGTCTGAGCATTAACACGTAAATGTTAAAGTAAAAACCACCGTTGATTAGGATTAGTGTATGTTGTTTTGAATGAAGGTGTTGAATTATTTGCAATGGAATTCAAGAGGGTGGAGAAGTAAAGTTGTTTTAATCCCCCCCCCCCTTTTTTTTTAAGGGAAGGTGAATAAATAGAAATGAATGTGGGTTTATTGGGATGGTAGGGAATTGCCAATATTTTATTCTCATTTTTTGTTCATTATAGATTTTTATAAATCATGAATGGCTCGAATAATTTTCTTTCACAGAATATAAAGGATATATTCATATGATTCTCAATGGGTAAAACATCAGTGGTTGTTCTTGTAAAGTAACACATTTGTTATAAAAAACCAAGAACCCTGTGGTTACACGCTGCCTAGGCCACACAACATGAATGAAACATTTTGTATTGAAAGAATTGTACTAATGTCCATTATTCTTCAACTGAAGCACTAGACTCGGTCACCATCATTTGCATTCCTTTTTTACTGAACTGTTTCTGTGCCTTTGAGTTTTTTTGCTTGCATGTATAGCAGTATATCAGATTGTCAACAGTTGTGTTAAATTCCTTAAATTTTTGAGGTTTGCTTGCTGGAATTAGTTCAGTTATGTGTACTTTATTCGCTGTGGTTGACGGAAAACTTACTGTTACTATCAAGTGTAAAGTCTGAGGGAGTTTTGATTCAGAAGTCCAACTTAATTTTAGGATTTTGTGAATTTTGTTAGTGCAGGGATGTGTGAGGTAAATTGTTTGGTTGAGCATATATAAAAGAATGCAGTCTGAAAGTACAGATTAGCCTCCTCGACAATTTAGGCATTTATCATCCAACACCAAACCCTTTACACAACCAGTCTTTTCTAAAGTTACCAATTTAGGAGTAAAGTCAATCACTTGTGATGTTTGATACGAGGTCCAAGTATAGAACAGCCCTTTGTCCAGTTTTTAGTCGAATCGCCTTTCATGTTGACAAACACAACAGAATTAGAGCCACATTATCTACGAACTTGAGGTGGTCACTTAATACCATTCAAATCAATTGCCATGGAGTGAGTCCATAATTAAAGATTTTATCAAATATTGTATAGCACTCAGATGCATTAGAGGCAGGTATCAAAAGTTATGTTTGTACATAGAAATGGGTTTCGCAACAAGTTGAGTGGTAATTACCCAAAAAATTTTCAGGTGTGAAAGCAAGATTCCTAATCTCTTTCGGATATTCTATGTCAGGATTTCTGTCAGGTTGATATCACATTTGGTTCTTCATACTGGAATTGAGGTAGTTTTAAATGATTTTTATGTTTGTAAAGAGTAACTACTGATATTTACAGGAATTGGACCTGGGCAGTAATGATCTAAGTCCTGAAAAGGAAAGATTATATTTGATGCTTTAGCTTAGAAAAAAAATAAACATGTTGACTATACAAAGAGTAACTTTTCAGTTATGCACAATTGTGGATATCAGTTTATTATTCCAGAAAACTTTGAAGGGGCTTCTTTTCACACAGATATCACATTTCAAAATGTAAACCCACGAATAAGAAAGTCCTATTTACTGAGAGCAACTAATCTGCTGATTTTCACTGGTTTCATAATCTGTAGGAAATTTTTTATCTGGTTCACAAGCAAAGTAAAGTATTAATCAATAAGGACACTAACTGTCTTCATACACTGCTGCCACTCATTGCTGCACCTCATAATCACTGTGTAATTGTCCAATAAATCATGTTTGGGATTAATTCCCAGAGAAATGATGTGGTATTAGAGCGGGGAGATCAGACCATCGCCTTAGTAACCTGTCTGTGCTGGTATTGATTACGTGTCTGCCGTCTATTTTGAGAATAAGAAAGTGAACACTTGTACATTTTGTGGCATTTAACTTGCTACATTTTGTCTGAAACACAAATTAAGTTCATAAATTTGTCTGTAGTTTTTATAGTAAGTTTTTTTGCAGAATTTAGAGTGAAAAGCATTAAAAGCTTTTTAAATCGTCTGCATTATATGTGAAAACAAACCTGTATCTGTCATCATTTCAGTGCTGAGTGTATTGGTAATATTCTATACTAGTATATACACTCAAAGAATGAAGAAGTTGATTATGATTTTCCTGTATGTAACAAAAGCTCACAGAAGTTTTAAAACCAAATTGTGATCCCATTATTTCCTCCCAGTTTAACTCAATCGGATAACATTGCTTGCACTCATAAAGAAAAAAAAAACTAACATACCATTCATAGATTTACAGGAATGATTCACAGGAATAAAACAGAAAAAAAAACAGTTTAAGTTTAATAACAAGCCTGATTGGGTTGTTTTTCATAATTTTTTTTCACAAGCCCATTGCTAGTTACATTTTCTGAGTGTTCACAGTGACAGTTGTACCTTACTAAAAATTGCTGGTGATTGTGTAATATTGCACAAAAACATTTTGTGCACTTTCATTGTCAAATTACTTGGTCTTATTTTAATGTCACTGCTTCTGTCAGTTTTGTCATATTTTTTTGTCTGTCCATATGACAGCTTTTGCTGTCTTGTTATTTGTAACTCTGGCATCGATTAACGAGATATTGCAGTGAAGATTGGTTGCAATTACTAGATAACAGGATGTAAAGAAGCAAAATTAAAAATTAAATGGGTCTTGTGGATAAAAGTCCTCTGAGTGTTGTATTGATCTATACAGCAGGGAATAAATAAAGCTACTTTAACACATGTGTTCATGCAGTTAGAATTAATCTACCAGAAACCTGACAAGTAAATAAAATATTTACTTAACTGTCAAAGTTAAATAGCCATTTGAGATGGCATAGAACTTCAGTTTTTGACAGGTTTTATGATAGGTACCTTCGGTGTTAATCCTAAAGTTATATTACATTTTTCGCTGTTTTCTTTTGAATGTATCTTTTTCAATATTTATCTTTTAAATACAGTTATAAACCTCCACATATTTACCTGTGCCAAGGAGGTAATGTTTTTACCTTTGGTGGATTTATGGTTGGTTTGCTAGTTATCAGCCTAACCCCTCAAAAATGTGTATTTTTTCAACTCCCCCCCCCTCTCCCCTCAGAAAAAAAATTGTTGGGTTTTGTCTTGTTTAATTCCTGATACAGACATATGGGAGTGTGAATCTCATCTGTTAAAGATCATTTTTTCAGCCTTTATTTTTAAAACCACTGATAGTACCATAAGTATTTTGCTGGGTTTATCTTGTACAGAGAAGTTGGTTGGCATGACCATCAGATTAGACTGTGTTATCTTCCAGTTAAAGTCCTCCACATTATGTTGACATACCCAGTGCAAATTGTGACAGCATGTGGAAGATTCACCAAGGGGGTAATGTAAATGCCACAGATTGTCAAGGTCACTTGCACAAGGCCACGTGGCTGGTCAGTTGGAGTCCTTTTCCCAGCCTTATGTGGAACGATTTGAGTGTTTCCTATCACCCAAGTAGAATCCAGAAGTAGAATTTTCAGTCAGAATTATTTGACATTTTTTCATTATCATTTGATCAAAGTAAGTAGCAGTAGGCCCTGAAGAAATGTATTATCTGTCATGAACACATACCATAGCTGTAGCTAGGTGAGGCAAATAAGACACGTGCATCATCTGAATCTATAGATTAATATTACTAGCAAGGCTGGCCCAAAGGGAGTGGTTAGATTTGTATCCTCATGTTTCAACTTGGCTACAAGCCGCAGGATGCAGTTTACTGTTCTCATGGAAGTGATTGTCTGAAGCGATTCTTCAGATTTGTTTGAAAAGAACTGCAGGAAATACTTTAGACTGGAAGTGTAATTTTATAACAATATTCAAGCTACATGACGTCTTGTATATAAACACTTTTAGGAAGTACGGTAGAGTGACTACCATACTTTAATTTTTTACAATGTTTTTTCTCTTAATCTTATTCTAAAATATTAATAAAAAGGTGTGAATGGGCATTATGTTTTATAATTTTCTTTAATAAAACTCTCTAGTTACACCCATTAATTGCAGATTAATCTTAATCTAGTTCGTGTATTTATTAATATTGAAAAAAAAGCCTTGCTTTGCTATTATCAGTTAATGTCTTTATTTAATTATTCCTAGGATGGGCGCACTGTCATGCATTTTGCTGCGTCATATGCCAGAGATGACATCATGAAGCTGCTCATTAATAAGAAGGCTGATGCCACTATACCAGGAGGGGTGAGTGGAAGATGAATTTTTTAGTTTTCTGCGTAAATAAATTAATAATCCATTTGTCGTATGCAGAGTGATTAAGATGTGAGAATAAACATGATTGTGATAAGATTATAAATTGATAGTAGATGTGAAGCCATTGAAATGTGATCATTGAAAAAAAAATACCTTTCACAATTATTATTTGAAATTGAGTGATAATTTTTCCAGAAAAAAATTGTAATTACTTGGAAATTGTCATAAGTTCTGAAGAGTTAGTTAGACTTATATATAGAAAACATGTTTTTGGTGTAAGTTAAGTCTGGAAAATAAAAAAAAACTTAAATTGCCTTTAAAAGTGAGAATTTAGAAATGTATAAGTGATTACTCAATTTCTAAAGTTAAGCAACTTTAATCAAGTAAAGTGTTACTTGAATCTTATTTCATTGATTAGATTGGACAACCTTCCAAAAGCAGCAAGACCTGTGAAATGCTTTTTTATTGCTACCATTATCAAAAATGTAAAACTCGAATTTGTCATTAAAGGAAATGGACTTCTGTTGCACAACTTGCGCAGCATCTCTATCATTATGCATACAAATGTTTCAGTCTCCTCACATTGCGCTGAAACACAAATCCTTGTCTCGAATTAATTCTGACAAATTGAAGTCAGACTGGGCCGTTGGTTGCTGTCTGGAGTTACAAAAAGGGAAGAGAAAAGTCATTCAACAGTTCGCCTATTGTTTAGAAAAAAAGGAATAATGATTGGGTGATTATCCCAGTGGGAGAGCTATGTAATCAGATGCAGAAACTTTTGCAAACAGTGCCACCTGGCTTTGAGGGGTTTTATGTAGCTTTTATGTCTTAATTGTATCGGGAGCTATGGGAGGGGTGGTATGTTGGAGAGTGGGACGGGGGGGGGGGTAGACACCATACATTTTATTAAAGGATAAGAAGATTGGATGGTTATTAAAAGCACTTAAAATCAATTTAAATGTATTAATTCATTGTCATTGTCACTGTCTTTTCTTTATTAATGTTGCTGTATTTCTTCATTGTGTGTGTCTTCTTGCTTATGCGGTGTGTGTGTGTGTGTGTGTGTGTGTGTGTGTGTGTGTGTGTGTGTGTGTGTGTGTGTGTGTGTGTGTAGAGAGAGAGAGAAGGGGAGGGAAACCTCAGTTTAAACTTGAAAATTATGTCAAACTTGGTGTCTGGGGTATTCGCTATCTTTAGGTGCTTACAGAATTGGTGGTGTTTACAGTGGAAGTTGTGTGTGTGAGCATGAACATGTGTGTTGATCAGGAGTGGGTGGGGAAAGAAAGAAACTCGAATTGCTGTGCAGGGGCGGATTCAGAGTTATTTCCTGACAGTCTTCCAAATAATCTTTGTTGATCCGTTCTTCATTTTTGACCATCTTCCGACAGAAAAAATTAGATACCCGCTAATGTAAATTTGAAAATCTGACCGTCTTCTGGAAGACCCAGAAGACGCCCTAAATCCGCCCCTGCTGTGCCAGTACAGTTTTACACTACTGGGCAGTGCAATTTGGACATGATGTGTCCATGCAACTGTTGTATACCTGTTGACACTTAAAAACATTTGTTTCATTTCACAGTCTGTTTACTTTTGTGTAATAACATATTGCTTTGTTCAACTAAATGTGAACAATGTAAAATATGTAAATTATAGTTGGGTAAGGTAATTTATAGCCTATTGGCTTGAATGAGGGATGTAGTATTAGTTGTAGAAGCCTAGTTAACCAACCAAGAAAAAAGATTCAAATACCCCCCCCCCCCCTCCAAGAAAAAAGTCAATCATATCAAAGCTGTCTTCATCATTTGTAAATACATTATTCCATTTTTTTCTTTTCATTATGCAGCCTAAGGAACAGCTCCCCCTTCACATGGCCTGTGCAAGATCTAGTGGGGCACTTGCAATAGTTCAGATGCTCCTGAAAGTCTCTGGAAAAGACTGCAGGCTTGTGGAAGACAAAGTAAGTTTTAAACACTCATCTTATTCAAAGACAATTTCATATGGATGAAATACAGGGGTGTATTGTGGAAGCAATTTTAAAAGTGGCCTAGAAAATTGTACCCGAATACACATAAAGGAGAAATTCATTCTATTTAAAACAACCAAAATATGTGCATTTATATACAAGTTAGGTGGACCGACTGCTGTTGCATTTGCTGCCTACATTGCATGATAAGTTTTGTTTCTTTTACTAGACATGTCACGTCAACTTCACATCAGTCCAGCTTGTATTTGAACATGCTTTACTATAGGTTGGTTGGTCTCATGTCAGTCAGTCAGAATTCTTTCACAGTAATATGAATCTAAGCCAAGTGGAGAGTTTGTCTCGGTGGTGGTTTATGTGAATGTCCCCTAAATCTGTCTTTTGTTTTTCGTAGACATGAGTACAAATTTACTAGTAACTTTTTTTACTTTTTATGTTACACTGGAAGCCAGCTAGGTTATTGAAAAAGTGCAGGAGGCCTATTGTCTCGTGGTCTTGTGTTTCTCTGGTGATTTATTTCACTCAATAAATTAGTAGTAGTTAAGTGTCTCTTAGTAACATTGTCTCTCCTCATTTAAGTTGTCTAAATCATATATTTAAATTCCCAAGCCTTTGCTATTCACACTAATTTTAAGTGCATTAGGGTTGTCTCATCTCAAACAGTATAAAGTAAATGTACTTTGTCTTTTGTCTTTTCTTTACAAATCCAGTTATTAATATCCTACACCGCAAAATCTATTAAAGTGTTTATTTATTATTTTTGTTTGTGTCATTGTGTGTGTGTTTGACTGTTGTGTCCTCAACCTTAACAAATGCCTCCTTTATTTTCACTTAAATAATTATATGAATATCTCTTGCCATTAAAATTATTTCAAATTTTTTTCAGGATGTTTGGTATCAGTATCTCGCACACAGAGTTTTATTATGATCGTTTCGTTTTTATTTACAAAAAATGTTATAAACATTCTCTGATTCAGAAATTATTTCAGAACTGTTTCCATTTCAGGATGGCTCAATTCCTATATTTCTATCTTCTGAAGTGGGTAATGTGGCCGTTTGCAAAGAATGCCTCACACAACAGACAGAGCAACAGATCAAATACCAGAGAAGGGTGGGTCTCCCTGTTTTCTTTTACTTGTCTGAAGTTGGCCAGACTTGACATATCTGGAGGCAGTCGGTGCACAAATAATTACAAATTTCCCATGGCACTGGGCTTTGTTTCACAAAGGGCTTGTTTAAAAAGTCTTGTGTGGCATTTTATGAAATATGGTACTTTTTGTACTCGAGACATGCATTGGACATGTCATGTCACCCACATGGTACAAACCAGATGTCATAAGCATTATGATTAATGTTTTCAATTAGAACAATGGCAGTGGTATTGTGTTATATGTTTTGTTTACATTGAGAATTGTTTTAGGGTTTATTCTGGACTATTTCGGATATTTCACTGTTACGTAGTTTGATGTTGAAATGATAGTATGGTTACAGAATTTCAATCATAGAATAGATTAAGTATTTAGAGCGATTGTTAATGGATATTCGTACATTTAAGGGGTGTAGGGTAACCCTTGTTGCTAAATCAATGATATCTTTGGTTTTGCACATATATTTTCGTGTTTTTAGCACTTCAACTTATGCTAATAAGTAAGATTGAATGAATTCACATACTAACACATAAGATAATGAAATTAAAGATTGCTTTTCACTTAAATCAAAATTTTAAAGAAAAAATAAAGTAACTTAAAGGTTGTTAAATAAACAATAGTTTGGTCAGTGATAAAGCCTTCTTTACATTACATTTTCTTAGAATGCTGTTGTATGAATGTATTTGCACCAAAATTTATAAGGGGATTGAGTCCCCTAAATTACTTGTCTATGAATTTCTCTTGTGCACAGAGTTGAAGCTAAATTCCTTTTAGCTAAAACTTACGTGAACATGTCCTGAATCATTATGTTGTGACACTTTTTGAAGTCTTGAAAGAGTAAACAATTTTCGTAATTGATACTAAGTCTCTTTTTTTTTAAAAAGATCTGCAGTACATTACCACTGATTTTCTCCCAATTTCCACAGGGTAATGGAGACAACTTGATGCATGTTGCTTGCAGAAGAAAGGACGTGGATCTGGCAAAACTATTTGTGGAGTATGGAGCCAACTTTGATGTGCAAAATGTAAGTTTTGAATGTTGGCATGACATTAGAAAATTCTGGAAAAGTAACAAAAGTTATGATTAACATAAGTGTTTACTGACATTTCATACTGTTGACATACAACAATAATTTGTGTTTGCAGAATATAGCTAAAATCTTGACTGCTTGATTTTGATAATTTTGGATAATTTAATATGTTTTAAAATTCTAACCTGTTTTGATTTTAATATTTAGTCACAATTTATTAATTTACATAGAAAGGCTGGCAGAGAATTTCCTTAAATTGTCACATGTGGCTACTCAGTTATTATTATTGTTATTGTTGTTGTTGTTTTTGTTGTTAATATTACTGTTGTAATTATTATTATTATTATTATTATTATTTAGTATGAGGGCCATACCCCCTTACATATATCAGCCTGGGAAGGAGATGAAGCTATGATGAAGTACCTGTATCAAGCTAAAGCCAATCCAAACATAACAGATCAGGTATGCAGATCTATTTGAGATTGACATGGCATGTCATTGTATGGAATTTTGTAAAATTAGAATTTGGATTCAAACATTTATTGAATGAAGTGGTATTTTCAAAATACTAAAATTGTGAATGGATAGTTCCTTTTAAGATATTCTCTGTAAAATCAAAAAAAGAGTCAGATTTATACATCAACAGTTTTATCATATTCCGTAAGTTGGGCCAACAAAAAGCATCTGCTCGAATGAATAAAATATTAAAGTTAGACTAGTCATTTAATTTTTAGTTTGATAAAAGGGTCAGTTTTCACATGAGGTACTTGCTGAATTCTAACCCGTTTTGATTTTAATATTTAGTCACAATTTATTAATTTACATAGAAAGGCTGGCAGAGAATTTCCCTAAATTGTCACATGTGGCTACTCTATATTGGCCTGTGAGTCAACAGAATGTGATGAGAATGGCATTTTCTTTTTAGATGGATCGGAGTCCCTTACACATAGCTGCAGAGCGTGGGAACACGAGTGTTGTGGAACTGTTGGTGGATAAATTCAAGGCTAATGTCGCCGCTCGAACTAAAGATGGCAGCACCTTAATGCATATAGCGTCAGAATGCGGGCATCCTGATACTGCACTTACATTTCTCAAGAAAGGAGTGCCACTGCATATGCCAAATAAAGTAAACAATTTAATTACTTTAACATGTAAAACACATCTGGAAATCTTACTCCTTTTTTTCTTTCCTTTTTTCTAATGACAACAGTCATCATTTTAACGATTTAAAAAAGATTGGAAATTAGGTATCTAAAATAAGTTTTCGCCATTATCATTAAATCAGTGTGTAATATAATGATGATAGTAATAATGATTGTGTTGATCAAAGAACATACTTGAACAAATTACCTTTCTGTTTTACTGTAAAAATATTTTAAAAGCCCTTTTGTGGAAAAGAACTGGAGACTTTATCCTTATTTTGTTTACTTCATTGATTATTTTTAAAACAAGAAGATGAATTAAGTTGAAATGTCTGTTGAAATGTTTATTCATGAAAATGAGAAAAAACTTTGGCACTGCTTTTTCAGGCAGGGGCTGTTTGTCTCCATGCTGCTGCCAAGAGAGGCCACACTGCTGTAGTGAGGTCACTCCTCCAGAAAGGTGCACAAGTAGACGCCAGGACCAAGGTGACTTTAATATATCATTTTACTACAAATAAAGAGAAATAAGAATAGAAAAATCTTCTTATAAAAGACTAAGCATAAGTAACAAGTAAACGCCAGGGCTAAAGTGACTTTGAAATATCATTTTACTACAATAAAGAAAAAAAAATAAAAATCAGCAAAAAGAAGAGTTAAGCATTCCTTTGACAAAATGGTGTACCATTTCCAAATTGTCATTTTGACTATTGTTCATGAGGGTTCAGTTTTCTCCATATTTATGCATTAATTTTTTCCAGATAATGAGAGAATCCTTCTATTTTCAAAACTTAATTTAAAATTACAGCCCACCTATCATCATTAGTTCAAAGTTTTTATGTTTAAAGATCAAAACATACCCAAAAGTATCTTATTTGTGTCCAATTTGAAAGGGAATAATTTGTATTTTCAGGACAACTACACAGCCCTGCACATAGCTGTGGAGGCATGCAGACCACTTGTGGTACAGACACTATTGGGCTTTGGTGCTCAGGTGGAACTCAAGGGAGGACTGGTCAGTCTGTCTTTTTATNAACCATATATTGATAATTACTTCACTATGTTGAAAAGATTGTCGATTTATTTCAAGGAAAGAAATACCATTCATTGGATTATTAACATTGTAGTTCTTTTAGTTTCCTGGAACAGCAGTTTTCTTGTGGAAAGCAATAATGATCAGTATAATGGTGATATGTTGAATTAAAAAAAATGTTTGGTTATAAATATTGATCAAACAGACTGTTCTTTTTTTTTTTTTCTATGAGAATGCAATTGTGCAGTGAATGTTTACTAGTGAAACAAATTTCTATAAATTAAAGTTGATGTTGATATTTTAGGCCCAGGAGACCCCACTCCACATAGCAGCCAGAACCAGTGAAGGGGAAAAGTGTGCAGAAATGCTGATCAAAAGTGGAGCCAATGTTAATTCCATTCAGGAGAACGGGGAGACTGCAATGCACATAGCAGCCAGATACGGTCTCATCAAAATGGTTATTGCCCTCTTGGAAGAAGGTGGTGACCCCTGTTGGCAATCAAAGGTAATAAGTGTTTATTTCTGAATATATAGTAAACATAGAAGATAATATCCGAGTCATATCACTATAAGTGTTGTACTTCTTAGATTGTTCCAGTATTTGTAATATTCCAAATAAAATATTGTTATCACAGTTAAAATACCATCTGCAAACGTATATGCCATTTGTGATATTTAAAGTACAATTTTGAAATTGAGGATTAATCAGAGGGTGTAGAATTAAGGAATGTCCTGTTGAATGGGGTTATCTAATTATCTTGAGGTCTTAATTTATACACAAGGTTACTATTGTTTCAAAGTAGAAAAAATATTTTATATATTTTTTTAAATTCTCAAGTTGATTTGTTCTGTATTTTTCCAGCTTGGAGAAACTCCTCTCCATGTGTCTGTGAGACACTGTCATTGGGATGTGGCAGATGAACTTCTCAGATTTGTGGCCACAGAAAAGTCCCATATAGATGCTGTGATGCTAGTCAATCAACAAAATACTGTAAGATATTTAGTTTTTGATTTAAATATTTTAATGACATTTTATATTCTCTCAAATGATGTTTGATGTTTGACATTAACAAAATTCTGTAAGGTTAATTTTTTAATTCAAATATTTTAATTACATTTTACTCTCAAATTTTCTTTGCTGTACATAAAGTAACACTTTTATCTGGATGGCAACTGGTATTGCTTGTGGCATATTATTCATTTATCATAAAATGTTTACATAAGCATGGTATTATTTAAGCAGATTTTCCAAGATTGTAAATTGAAATATTTTTTAAAGATATTGATATCAATTTTTTTTAAACAGGAAGGGGAAACTTGTGTGCATTATGCAGCTGAAATTACCAAGAACATGTGCCATAGAGAGTTTGAAGATGTCGATGTGATCAAACTGATGCTGGAATACAATGGAGACACGAACACACAGACTAGAATGGTAAGATCCTGTAGAAATGTGAATGAAAAATCGTAGTATGCTCTTCTCATTATCGCACTGCTGGAATGCAGGTTGTAAATCAAGTATGTGAAAAAAGAATGATGATTGCGGTAACTGCAGATGCAAGTCAAGATATAAATGCTTTATTGATGAATTTAAACATGCGTATTTGGAACATATGGGTTTACAGACATTGTAAATTTTTCTAGGTCTATGGGCTATAGTTATAATAATAATAATAATAATAATAATAATAATAATAATAAAGGGTTAATTGTACATTTTGCAATAAACAAAATGTATGTGAGATGTAATTTTTTTGAATAAAAATTTGAAGTGAAAAAGTCTAAAAACAGGGATCATTATCATTTAAAAAGAAACAAGTTCATGCTGCACTGAATTTGATTCTGCCATCTTGTTTCTGTTGTCATATTTTCACCCTTTTTCTCCAGACACATGAGACCCCACTTCACTACTGCTCCAGGGCAGGAAACGAGGACATCTTGTTGGAAATGGTCAGACATTTAGGTCCCAACAGAGTTCAGTTGGCAGTCAACAAGCAAGCAAAGGTACTAGATGTAGTATAAGGACAGTTAGTACCATATCAGCAAAGACATTTGAAACTGTGAAATTTCGACCATAAAAATCCATTGAAATGTTGGTTATCATATTGAAATGCTATTCTCCAATTTTGCTTACATGAGATATATTTTATGTCATAGAAAGAAGTTTTTGCTTTTTTGCTTTTGTGGGCAACAGGACATGACTTGAAATTATACTGTCAATCATAATTTGCCACATGTTTATCCAAGTTTATCCCATTATTAAATTGATAACAAACTTACCCATCAAATATGACACCACTGATTCAGTACCAAACTTAATTAACCACATGTAGCAGAAATGAATGAATTAATGTGTGAATGAGGCAGAGACAGTAATTAATTAAGATTAGAAATATCTTCAGTCAGCAGCTTTTCAAGGAATATTTACCACATATTGAGGGATGCCAGTGCTTCATACTTAATCTTTTTCTTAATCTTTTCCTGAAACCTAATAAAACGTATCCCCAGTGCATCAAGCCAATTTATGTGATTTAGGGTCCAGGTAATATTTTCTCAGAAAAGTACTTCTCCGTTCATAAATCTGCAATTTACGATATTCTTTCAGAATGGCTGGTCCCCATTATTGGTTGCGTGTGAGCAGGGCCACCTGGACATTGTAAAGATCTTAATGCAGAACCATGCCAGAGTAGATGTGTTTGATGAGGTGAAAATTTGATAAAAAAAATATGGAAAGATAAGAAATAACTTATGATATAATTGTTGTGGGGCACTAAATACAGCACAGGGTCTATATTTTACATACATTTGTAAAGTTTTTATTTACAGTAGATGTAACAGCTCACTTTTTAAGTTAAAGCAGGGAAAACATGAAAGAGGCATATTAAGGGAGCACTCATGTCTCATTATTCCATTGCACCCTACCAAATGCCACCATGTATAGCAGAGATTCATTATATTAATTTCTGAAAAAATCATATTTACACAGATACTTTTTGATTGCCTTCTTTTCTTTTTGTACTGGAGGGAAAATAAGTAGATCAAATTTACAACCTTGTTTGTTAAGACATTTTTGTTCTATGACAGCATGGTAAGGCAGCACTCCACCTGGCGGCAGAGAACGGCCATGATGAGGTAGCAGATGTGTTACTGTGGCACAAGGCATTTGTCAATGCTAAGTCCAAGCTTGGGGTCACCCCTCTCCACCTGGCGGCACAGAATGGCTGCAATAAACTGGTCAAACTGCTGATAGAGACTCATGGAGCTACCATTGATGCCTTGTCACTGGTGAGTATGTCATCTGTGACTAAAAATGTCCATGCAGCCTGCATATATTTATTTTGTTGATTATTTTTGTACATTTTTTTCCAGATCATTTGTGAAAAAAGCATAAAGCTGTTATGTCAAGTCTTTTAAAGCAAAGACATTTGTAATACCTTGTGTGAAAGGGGTTTAAATTTGCTGAGCCCATCCAATAGCTTGAAAAAAATTAGTTTTCATTTGGGTTGCCTGCCTCCAATGTTACCCTCAATTTTTATTTTTATTTTTTAGGCAAAGAAAACTCCTTTGCATATGGCTGCACAGAATGGGCAGATGGAAGTTTGCAGCACTTTCCTGAAGATGAAAGCTGATGCAAATGCTACTGATGTGGTATGTTGTTATTTTGATGAAAGAAATAGGAAAAAAGTCAAGTTCATTTCTTTGAACATTAATTATAGGTTTGCAACAACATATGCTGATATTTAAAAAAGGAAAATTTCTGAAATGTAAAAAGATTACTGCATGATCAACAAAGCTAGATTGGAGAACAAAAGCAACATTCTATGGTTTTTGAAAACAAAAAACAACAAAAACATTTATATCTCTTAATGCTTTTTCAGCATGGTCAAACTCCCCTCCATTTGGCTGCAGAAAATGACCACTCAGATGTTGTGAAACTCTTCCTAAAGCACAAGCCTGAGCTCGTCACTATGGCCAACACGGTGAGTCAAATTATACTTAAACCAGGAGCAATAGTCACTTATTTGAATTTCCATTTGCTGTTCAGCAGTATGTCATGTAAAATTGACATTAAGAATTTCCTGGTTATAAAAAAAAATGGGATAACTATTTTTATGAAATGGTTCATCAAAGAGATGTTTAATGTAAGACATCAAGAAATAGCATGGAATAAAACACTTGACATTTCTATGATAAGATCAGTTTTTAATGAATGTTTATTAATATCTTGGATATTGATGAAAAGTTTTGATTATCTCTTTGACAGGTTGTTGGGTAAAATTTTTATGTTTGACATTGTGAAGGTTTTTCTGCTAACAATGAATTATAGCATTTCGTTTGATAACTTTCAGAATTGATTTTTCTGTGTTTCTAGGATATAAAAACACTAAAATAACACATCAAAATGCTCTTTAACAGCCATTCAAGAGGGGGGATTAACTTGAAAGGTTATGCAATAACCATTCTGGTTTATTAAATTGACAAAAGGTGGTCTTGTTTGCTGTGTCTGTGATTTTATTACTTTTCACTCCACTGACTTTTAGGTTTTTATCTTACATACCAAATGTTATTTTGCTATCATGTTACTTTCCACTTAGATTTGGATTATTAAAGACATTTGAACAGATTATATTACAGAAAACAGCTACGTTAAAAGATAATTGATAATAAATTTTTCTAATGCTTGGTAATAAAAACCCATGTATATCATGAGGGCTTAAAACAAATTAATTGATTTTTAGCTCTTAGGTTTACTTTAGTTTATAAGAAGTAAAACAATTCTTCATGTGTCTTTACTTGGTTTTTGTATTAAATCTAGTGGATTGATTATAATAGAGTTTGGGTACTAACACTGTGAAATGGTTTAGTAACTATTACAATTTAATTAAATGCTGTGACCAGGATAATGTAAGTATGTGGGGCCAATGACCTTTATATAGGTAATGGTTCACTTTCCAGAAAATTGGAATGACCAAAAAATGCATGCATGTCCAATTTCCCATATTTTGCATTGATCACCTTTGTACATTTCTCCCCTGCAATATGAAACGTGGATGTAAACTTGTGTCATACTGCACGCATGCACTTGTACACTATCATGTTGGGTTTTGCAGGAAGGCTATATGAATTGGTATTTGACCTGTTGTTGTTTTACTTTCACTGGGTTGGATTTTATCATTTTTTTATGAATTTTCATAAGCATGTTGATGTTTATATATTGCAAAATTATTTTAAAGCTGTCTCTCTTGACAATGTTGATAGATTGTATGAGTGAGACTTTATTTTCTTTTAATTATGTGAAATTAGTTCTAACTTTAAATCCAGTATAAAGCATACATCAAGACCTGTTAAGGGTTCTTTTTGAAGTTTTGCATGTATAGTCAGAAGCAGGATATAGCATATTTCTTGTCACAAAAAATGCATTTCTTATATGCTTTGTTTAATTATATTATTTTAATGTATTTTTAAACTGGTCCTTCATTTTTTGTATTGATATTCTATTTCTTGGTTCAGATATTGTTAAACTTTGGAGTAATGGGTATAATTTCAGCTCATATAAACATTTCATTAAATCAGAGGCAATTTTTTTTCACTTTCAGAATGGCATGACATGTGCTCACATAGCTGCCTCAAAGGGCAGTGTAGGTGTCATTAAGGAACTTATGAGATTCAACAAAATGGTAGTGACAACAGCCAGAAATAGGGTAAGTTTGGTCGAGTTGTTTTTGTATACAGCTTTTTTTTTTCCTTTGCCAAAATAAATTTTCTTTACAGTTTTATTGACAACATGAAGACAATTCTAATGTGACGTTGAATCAGATAAGACTACATATGCATACATACTCATACAAAGCTCTATTTTTTTTCAACCAAAAAAGTTTTCCTAACATGCTTAACAAAAAGAGGATTGTCCTGAAAAGGCATGAATTCAGATGGAGGATTGTTTAAATTTAAACTAATTCATTTTGTTATTTCCTTTGTTTATTGTGTATAGACCAACAACTCGACAGCCCTCCATCTAGCTGCAGAAGGAGGACATGTAGAAGTAGTCCAAGTGTTGCTGGAAGCTGGAGCCTCTGCAACTGATGAAAATGCCGTAAGTGGCTCCTAGTAATGCACTTAGCTTATTCATAGGGTTATTGATGTGTCTGCTGTTCATTTACTTTTATGTGCTTGTGTTATTGTGATATAAAATGAAGAATATAAATATTTTGAAATAAAAAAAATTACGAAAATGAGACGAGTTAGAAAGTAAAGAAAATAAAAGATTAGAAACATGGTTTTTGAAATACTTGATAAGTTACACAATGTCATGTGGTATTATTTGACAAAATGTGCCTTGTGAATATAAATAAAAGATTATTGAATCTAAGGTGGCTGTTATTGTCTTGGAGATAAAAGGAACAAATAGCTTTCAGTAATGAAAATATCCCAAAATATTAAATTTTTAATAATAACATCTGATATAATTTACATTTTTATATTTTTTAAGGAGGGTATGACGGCCATTCATCTGTCAGCCAAACATGGGCATGTGCACATCTTAGATGCACTGAAGGGACATGTTGATTTTGCCGTCACAAGTGCTAAGGTAGGTCAGGAAAACAGTTCTACAGTTTATTAATAACTCTTCTGTCAGTCAAAAAAGATCAAAAGGCTCTTTTTTCCAAATGTTACATCTTAAGATTCTCATGAGATAATTTGTTGAGAACAGATGCTGTTTTCTGGAAACACATGGCAGTTTTGTAAAGTAAATAACCCATTCACCTTGCAGTGAAGGTTACTTGGCTATGCGTGTTTTGGTTGTCAATAAGCGTTGTCAGTTTTGACAAGTGCAGTGCCCATCTAACAACATGGTGGTGCCAGTTTGCACTGGCTTTCAAAACTTGTACAGTATGCCAGAACATTCGGTGTGATAAAAAAAAACTGTAACTAAATATGACTTTCACAGCTTTTGACCTTTTTGATCTGATTTTCTTTGTTTATATTATCCTGTGACTATGGGCAATATTATTGGCTACCGTGTATATTATTACAAACTCTCAGTAGTATCTGTTGAAATGCAACACTTGGCAAGAGGAAAGTTGGCCTCTTTTTAAAGACAAACAAATTGAACATGATTCTATATCTGGGAAAAGAGTTTGATTTAGGCTTCAAATCACTGGTAAGTCTCAGGTGTATTCAGTGCTGGCTCTCAGTGTTAATCCTGTTGCACATTTCCTTGGATGGGCAGTGACTTCAAGTTAGACTGTTGTTTTGATGCATCTTTTTGATACTGTTCTCAGACATTGGGTAGGTGTACACACAGGTGTATATAGTATTCTCAGGTAGCTGGTTAGCTTGATGAATGGGATGCTCTGTCAGTACTTGGTTAACTCTTTTCACGATGAAAGGAATTGAGCGCTAGGGTGTAGTTTATCAAAATCTAATGAGACTAAAGAGATATGTTCATGCTCAGCCTTATAATGCTAGTAGGAAGAGGAAACCTGTCATTCCAGTGTCATGACTTTCATGCGGTTCCAAAATTGAACATGCTTACCTTGTTGAAGGTCCACAGGGACAGTTTGGCTTCAATTTTCAACCAAAGTGTCAGTGAGGATAGTGGAGTAGATGTAGAGTCACTTTTAGATGAGAATTTTGATGAAAGTGAAGAAAATTGGCCACAGTTTCATGATGATGACGGTGGTGGTAGTAAAAAAGAAAATGGACATTTTGATCATTCTGAGGTGAAGTTCAAACTATTCTGACTTTTGAAATTAAATTGAATTTTTTGAAATCTTAAATCAATATCCAATGCAAGAGAAAATTGAATATTTTCAGACCGGGTTAACAGCCCTCCATGTTGCTGCTCATTATGGTCAAGCAGACTTTGTGCGTGAGACACTGACCAGTATTCCAGCCACAGTGACCAGTGAGGCCCCAGACTCTGAAACTGGACTCAAGGATGTCACTGCTGAGGTGAGTCTTACAAAGCAGTTTTTTAAATTAAAAAGTCACATAAAAAGTCAAAGAATAACAAAATTTTTGTTGGTGTTTTTCTGGGATCTTGGTAGCATTTCAGAAGAAATTTATAAAGCTTCTTTAGTGATGATTTTCTTCCCAATAAAAACAAAACGTAATTTTCAGTACGTATGTTTATGAGCTCTGAGACTTTTTACTGTAGTCTACAAAAAAAAAATAATAATAATTTAAGAACAAATAAATGAGTAAATAAAGAAAACAAAACATATTTGAAACTACAGGTGCTTTTTTTTTCACAATTAATGAATTAATCTTTAATTAAAAATGTAAAGAATAGTTTACAGTTGTAGCTGCAATAAGCGTTTACATCTGGAATTTCCTTCTAAGCATATCTATTACAACCATTGACACTATAGTTTATGTACCCTCTGGTTCATTACTTGCTTCAGATATAATTCTCTAGAATTTATGATCACGTTGCTTTTTTTAACACCTGGGCCATATTTCACAGTATTAATTGGTCAGATGAATGAGGAACTAGTCACTTCATAATAGCATACCAAGAATATAATGCATTTGTGTAGGCCTTGTTATTGCTATTTTCCCTACTGATACACTTTCAAGAATCACAGATTGTTATTGTTATTTTTACAGTATATATATATATCCATTTACTAAATTATTCTGGCATTGCTATGTATAAATATGGCTCACATTGTAACTATGGAATGTATATAAAAAAGCAAGTTCAGAATCTCAAAGTCACACTGTATATCCATTTTTAAATTATCAACATTTTTAATCTGCTTTACTATGGTGGTTAGATATTATTTTTTTCTTTTATTTCTTTAATCTATTTTATCTTGGTATTTATCTCTCCTGTAGTCTGGCCTCACTCCGCTCCACCTGGCCTCTCAGTCTGGTCATGAAGGGTTGGTCCGCCTGTTACTCAATTCTCCAGGTGTGCAAGCAGACGCAGCCACCAAAGTCCAGGTAATAAACACAGTGATTCTGTCTGGACGTTCTAGAATTTGTATGCGTGCATAACCAGTGATCTGACTTTTAACTTGAACTTCTGAACTGTATCGGGAGGGAGGATGTATCCAAGGAATTTAGGATCAATACTTTATTTATTTCTTAAGTATAACAGTGAAATAGAGATGTGTGAATTTGATATGTTAATATCTATTAGTAGATTTACAATGCCTTATGCATCATCATTATTTTTTTAAGTTCTTTGTAAAGATTTAGTATTACTGGATTTAAATTAAAAGTAGTATTTATTGAATCAACAGCTATCCAAATCATCTATTTATTTATAAAATATTTTGAACTATTAGCAACCTGTAGAAAAAAGTAATATTTCAATATTTATTGTTATGATTAAAATTAAGGTTACATTAATAAATTAATTTCAGGGTTCAATACCACTCCACATGGCTGCTCAGAATGGCCATACTTCAGTGGTCAGTCTGCTTCTCAGTAAGTCCACCTCTCAGATCCATGTCAAGGACAAGAGGGGCAGGACTGGACTGCACCTGTCTGCTGCACATGGACATTATGATATGGTGGCACTTCTGCTGGGGCAGGGGGCTGATATTAATGTTTATGATAAGGTAATATATTAAATATATTCTGAAGAATTTATTTATTGAGTTATTTAATATTTTTGTTTATTCAGGCAACCTAGAATTTACATAAAAATGTTTATGTGAAGGTGATTTAGCACATAAAATTTATTTTTCATTTTTTCATAAATATGGGATTTACAGAGATGAGTGATGAACAATATGTTTTCCAAAGCCATGATATTTTTAAAGTATACCATCTTTATACAATTATATTGAAATCATTGAGATTTAAAGTTTACTTTCTAAGAAAAAAAATTACAGTTACATATAACACACCACAGCCACTCACTGTCAAACATGCAGTATACATATCAATGACTACACTTAAAACATTTTCAAAAAATGACAGCCTCAAACAATTTTTTAGAATGGCTGGACCCCTCTCCATTTTGCTGCAAAGGCAGGCTACTTGAAAGTGGTGAAGTTATTGATAGAGAGTGGTGCTGCACCCAAGTATGAATCTAAGGAAGGGAAGGTACCCATCTGCTATGCTGCAGCCATGAATCACACTGAGGTGGTCAGTTATCTTATGAAGAGAGACCACAACACACAGCATTTGATGGACGATAAGAAGGTAAGGAATTTCGGCTGCTTCCACATTCCTAATGGGTGCAGGAAGGTCAGGCAGAGTGCAGGTATCCTTTCCAGGAAAGATGTTGATTTGATATTTAACTGTGTCATATATAGAAATGTTATCCTATTATTTATCAGTACTCCAGCTCAATGCAATCAAAAATCTAATCTTATGTAATCCTACATAAAACGCATATGTAATTATGAAATCCCTCAAACCAGGAACATTTAGAGGAAGAACTTGTTAAGTACAAAAAAGAATGACATAGTTCAGGTTAATTCAATCCTTGTCACACAGGTTCATCATTAGTCTTAATATTTTAATAACAAGAAGCATAGGTTTAATTAGACAAAATGGCTTAATATTTATTCAAATTAATTTGTTTTTCATTCATATCCCAGTTTGTATTTGACCTGATGGTATGTGGCAAGACCAACAATAACAGATCCATCCAGGAGTTTATCACACTGTCTCCAGCCCCAGTGGACACAGCAGCCAAGATGTCCAAGAATTTCGCCCTTCTGGCCATCAGGGAGAAGGAGCGGTCAAGGGATCTCCTGCATGCTGGCGCATACTGTGAGAAAATGGCTACGGAATTAATGGCTATTGCCTCCGGAACCAACGGAGCATCAGCTTTACTCAAATCTGTTGACTGCCGTGGAACACCTTTCTTGGACATACTCATTGAAAATGAGCAGAAGGAAGTAGTTTCCCACCCAACAATTCAGAAATACTTATCAGACGTTTGGAAAGGGAATTTGAAATGGAACACATGGAAAGTAGTGATGGTTTTCACATTGTTCCTGATCGTACCCCCAGTGTGGGTTTACTTCTCATTGCCACTTCGGAACCGCTACAACAAAGTTCCGCTCATTAAGTTCATGTCATATTTAGTCTCGCATTTCTACTTAATTATACTATTTATTATGACAACTGTTGCACCCATTTATCCAATCTTTCAGTCTGGGTCACTCATACCCCATTGGTATGAGTGGCTACTATTGGCGTGGCTGTCTGGACTTCTGGTCTCAGAGCTGACCAATCCAGGCGACAGGGCAGGGTTAGGGTGGATCAAAGTATTTGTGATAGCAGTCAGTGCACTGGGAATCGTGGTCCATCTTCTAGCATTTGCATTTAATGAAGACGAGCGCTATGTATGCTTATATGTGAGGAATCAATTTTTTGCCCTGGCATTACTGTTCTGTTTTGTGTTGCTGCTGGATTTTCTCTCATTTCATCACTTATTTGGACCATGGGCAATTATTATCAGAGATTTGATGAAGGATTTGATCAGATTTTTGGTCATTTTGTTGGCCTTCATGCTAGGATTCACTCTTCATCTCTCAGCAATTTATCAGCCAGTGTATCCACCACAAGTATCAAATTCATCCATTGGTCAAGGAAATGGAGGAGGAGGAGCCAAAAGTCTCACGCCAATAGATACTTTTGAACTTCTGTTTTTTTCCCTATTTGGTCTCATCGAGCCTGATACTTTACCCACAATAGCCCAGAGCCCTGACTGGACTATTAATTTAGTGAAATCTGTATTTGGAGCTTATATGTTAGTGACTCTCATTGTGTTGATAAATCTGTTAATTGCCATGATGTCTGATACGTACCAGAGAATTCAGGCACAGTCGGATGTGGAGTGGAAGTTTGGGCGAGCTAAGTTGATCAGAAACATGAATAGGACATCAGCTACTCCATCTCCTCTTAACCTTTTCACCAAGCTCATCACTTACTGCAAAGTGGCTTACAAACACAAAGGTAAGAGGACTTGCAGTTACAGTTCAAAAATTACAAATAATGTAGAAGTCAATTATTCAATGTTGTCCAAAAACGGAATGAAAATAAAAATATTTTTTATTTTATTTACTTAGTATTTTTGTGAGAGAGTATTGATTTTCTGTAAGTCTTCTAGTCTTGTATATTGCAACAGAGTCTGAGGAATATAATGCCCAGCTCTCATCTTCATTTATTATTATTTTGATCTTATCTAGGTTTTATAAATAATAAGGCGATATTATTAAATTAGAATAAAAAAAATTGGCTCCTTAGCCAAACCAAAAAAAGTATGCTGGACTTCACTATCCCTTCATATTTGACCTTCTATATGTACTTTTTATTTTCTGTATTCCAGGCAAAATATGCAGTGCTGAGGCCCAGAGCTACATCCATGAAGAGGAGGACCTGAATGAGGACTATGATGCCAGATCTGTGGACCTGTTACAAAATAACCAAGTCATGCTCAGGAATATGATGAGGAGAAATACTCAAGTGGCTCCTGAATGTGAGCAATGTATTTTTAATGAAAGTGTATTGCTGTTACAAAATAATTTTGAAAAGTGATCATGTTAAGAAAAATAAAATGTTAAAAGTTTACTTAAATTTGCAAAATGATGCTGTAGTCCAGTTAGATGATAAATAAAATAAGGATTGGTTACTGAAATATTTATTTAAGAACAGGATATATTAAGGGGAACAATTAGTTATTTTATTTCTGTTACAAATATGGTTTGTATCTCTATGATTGTTGAGGTAAATTCACACACTTGATAACAAAACATGCACATATTGTACCAACTGCCAATTTCCAAGTCCAATAATTTGTACATAATTCAATAGGGGATTTCGAAAAATTTCACAATGTTCATCCTTATACATTTTGCAGCCTATTTACGTGCTCCCCAGCAGAGAGGTCCCCAATGCATTGATGATGTGATAGACTGGCAATTTGTTGTCCACAAGTATTTGGAGGTCAACAACCTGTTGGATGAACACTCAGACGAGGAAGAGGACACCAGTAAACACTTTAAGAAGGATAGCCACTTGAAAGAAATTAATGAGAAAGTGACAGAAAATGGTGGGATTAAATGACCAGGAGTTGAACCATTTGGGTAGGAAGGGTAACATGTAAGAAAAATAAGTTAAGGGGTAACTTTTAGCAGCAAAAGTAATTGAGGACATTAACAGATACAGTTGTAAGAATTAAGTGTGCAGTGACAAAGAGCTGCTGTTTGAACAAAATGTATTCACATGTTCAAAAGAACATTTCTGGAAAGTCAAGAATCTGCAGTGTAATTCTTTTCCATAAAATGCTAGTAGCCAATTTTTCAATTTTAATTTATTTATATCACCTTCTTATATGTCAAATTTAGATTGGATTGGTTTTTATGGCAAATGCATTACATTGTAATGTGGGGCATTAATATATTAGCACCATGTGTCTATTAGCCAGTCACCTTGGAGAGAAGTTTGTTTTTGGCTTTTCTTCTTTTTTTCTCTCATTGAAACAGATGCACTGGTATGTAAGAATATACAAGTATGTTGGACAATGAAAATATTTAACCTTAAAGCATTTTTTGCAGTTATGTCTCATACTTTTTTCATTTATTTAACTGAACAGAAATATTTTGTGTAATTGTTACTTTACTCCACGACAATAATTATATTTATATCCAAATATGATTGCAAGTGATAGATATTAACTACATTGTGAAAAAAAATCGCTATCATAGTCCAAGATTATGTGTATTTTTGTTATATGAATATTTTGATTCTGTATAAGCTGAGCTTTTTCTAGAATGTGGCAGATGGTACTGCTGAGCAGCACTACTACATGTAGTTCATGTAGATGAATATTGTGTAGACCCCCAGTCAGTAGGCACAGTCATATCGGTAGATATAAGGCAGTTTCTTTAGCTTTTGAACATTTGTAAACTGTAGTCACCACCCCAGTGATAGTTCACCTGTGAGACAAGCTTGAAGATGTGGAGAGTGAAACTACTGTTATTCTGACTATAACCACTACCCTTTATCTACAGGTGGCATGTGATAACAGGGAGAATGCCTTAGAACCAGTGAAATTGTTGATTAAAGTTTAAAAAAAAATAAAGAAAAAGACATAATTGTTGTCTTCTTATAATATCTGTATGACCAGTTGAAACACTTAAGATTTCTAATTGACAACAATAAAGTTGTTTAAAGTGAAGGTTATTATTGAGCTGAGTTACTTTGGATGCATTGATGGGATTTTTTTTAAACCATCTCATATTTTGGTCAATTTCTCTATGAAAAATTATTTCAGAACATGTTGTGTATTGGAACTAATTGATTGACAGTGTTATAGGACCAGTGTGCATTAAAAGGAACCATTTTTTCAACATTTTTAAATATTTGTATGAAATAACTGTAACCTTAAACATGCTTTTACTTTGGAAGTTATATAGTCATTGCTTTTGTTATGAGTTGTTGTGATGTTTTTAAATAATCTTCAAATGATCAATATAAGAAGTATTTGGAATAATTGTGTGACAATATTTCTATAAATTTGTAATTATATTTCATTGCCATCCTAATCATACCTGGGTTCCCGTAAGGTTCAACTTAAGGTTCTGTTTACTTTTTTCTGTGCATGGTTTCATTAGGATAATTTTCTTTGTTGTGACTCATCATATTTGGAGTTAAAGTATTTTTGTTTTATACCAGTGCCATACATTGCATTTTCTAAATTTAAAAAAATTACCTTCGTGTTATTGACCATAGCCTCCAAATAATAATTGTACAATGGAGAAATATGAGAGAACTTCATTACTGAACAATAACTTTTAGCATCACCTCAAATTTGTGCAAGTATGTGTATCCTTTGAACAATACACAATAGTCTTGTTGGGACTCTTTGGAAATTTAATTTTTATCTTTGCCTTCATGAAAAATGCAACAACTGTACATGTATTATTGCAGAAAGTATGCCTTGCATTTGAAGTGCAATACCAGCTGTGAAATAAAAAAATATTTTCAGTCATAACTCATTCTTGGCTCATTTATTAGTTTTGTATTGGTAATTTGTAGTCGTGTGGAGAACTTATTCTTCTAAGTTCTACTATAATAACATGTCAGAAACTCTTTGTACCTAGAATTTGCCGACAAGGACCTAAAAATGGATGGTTGGAAAATGGTTCTCTTGAGAAATAACTCAGTAAATTATGCTTTAAAAGTTATTATTACCATCCCCCAAAGAGGTATAATTGTTTTCGTTACCTGTTAGCAGTTTTATGCAAAAAGTGTCAAGAAACTGAGGGTCCTTGTATCAGGATGCCCACCCTAGATGTAATTATACAGGACCATTCCCAGACCCTATTGTACAAAGTGTGGATCGATCTATCTCCAATGAGATTCTTGCTAAATTGCAATCAACTTAAGCGACTTAGATGTCTGTCATGTCTACTGAAGCTGCTAGGGGGTAATTATGGTTTAGCAGCATCAGTAGGTGTGCCAGACATGTAAGCCATTTAAGCTGGAAACAATTTAGCGAGAAACCCTTTGGAGATGGATCGATCCTGTTAGATTGATCTAGGTATGAGAACCCATTTTTAAAGGATCCACCTATATCCAGAGATCAAGACAACTTCAGGAGACATTCTCGAGATAGTGGAAGACCTCAGATACTTAGGATCACACACCATCAGCACTGAAAAGATGTCAGCACTAGAAAATGTCACGCTCGGTGAGCACTGAATAGACTGAATAAAATAGTTCTAGCTGTCCCTTGAGCACAAAATCAGGCTGCATGTTGTGTTTGTAGCAGTGGTAGAATCAGTGTTACTTACAAAGGCAATGGAAAAAATCGCTAAATGGTGCATGTACCAGGATGCCAAGAGTTGCATACGGGGTGCCTACAGCACAGCAAATGACCAACCGCCAACTTTATGGGGACCTGCTTTTAATTTCAGAGAAGAACTTGTGGATCAGGTGGGTCAAAATCTAGGCTTACCTGTGCAAATTAATGGGTAACCGGATTCTCTCATGAGGGACTCTGCAAAAAGAAATGAACGGAGTTTGAAGAAATTTGAGGATAGGTTACAAATGGGTCAAGGAAGAAATGATTAGATTATATATGGTAATGATTCATTAATTACCTCCGCCAAGTAGGTTATGTTTTCACCCCTGCTTGTTTGTCTGTCTGTCTTTCTGTCTGTCTGTCATCAACATAACTCAAAAAGTTATACACCCATTTTGATGAATTTTTTAGGAACTGTCAGAAGTGGGCAAAGAAACAGATGATTAGTTTTTGGTGGCGATCTGGATCAATAATCAATCAATAATCAATAATCAAAATATTAAGTTATGGACCGAATTTTATGAAATTTTCATGAACTGTCAGAAGTGGGCCAAGAAACAGATGATTAGTTTTTGGTGGTGATCCGGATCCATTATCAATCAATAATCAATAATAATCAAAAATTGCTGCCTTGGCGGAGGTCTGCACTCTTGGAGTGCTTTTCTAGTTAATTAATGGTTAATTATTAGTCAATTATTTGTTTTTGATGGATTAATCAAATAGGTCACAAATGGGCCAAGGAAGAGATATATAGATTTTGGTGATGAACCATTTATTAATTAATGGTTAGTTATTAGTCAATTAACCATTAATTAATTGATTAATGATTCATAATTGGTTAATTATTTGTCTTGGCTTAGATCTGAGCTTTCTGAGTGCATTTTGTTTATACTGATTTCTTTCTGTACTGATCGCGCTTTTACCTCTTTTCGTGCGAACAGCTTTTGCGTGATCTAAAAAGGTTCTAGCCATTGGGTATTTAACATTAGTGTATTTGGCAGTCTCCTTTAGCACTAGATCACACCTAAAACTAGAAACCTAAAATATTTTTTCTGTTTCATTTTATACATGAAATTTGAAAAGTTCACAGTCCAGCTGTCATCAAGTAAATGAAAGTAACTCTTTTTAGCAAAGTCAACCAGCACTTTGAAGCGTTAACATTTTTCACTCTTGCCTGCCGAAAAAATATACTTTTTGCACTACATGTACTTGACTCTAACTTGCGCTGAATAACTTTTATTCAAATAAATAAAGTTCTGCTAGTTTGTAACTGATGAAACTACAACCACTTTACAACATTTTATTATGAAATATTAAAGCGCTAATATACATGTGATACTAAATATACATTAGATATTGAATAGAACTTTTGTTCAGCACTACGAGATAAACAGATATAAAGAAATATAGAAGAGGTAAATAACACACTTACAGAAAATTAGAATACGATTATCTTATGCAACGTAAAATATAGAAAAACTGACAATTTGCACAATGTAACCATACTGTTAGCAAGGCAAAGGCCCGTATACAATGCACTGGCAATCCATAACAACGCATTGACCCGCACTAAAATTTACTAAAGGGCATCCTACATGACTCTATGGAACTTTACAGAAATTACCCTTGGGACTCTCTAGGAATTCCTAGGATTTACTATAGGATTCCTATCTAGGGTGTGTATTCTATAGTGCATTTCTACAAAGGAAATCTCTTCATTATTTTCACTTGATGAACTTACGAAGTTGCTTTCGCTTTTAGAATATCGACATATGCCACAACCAAGTCATAACCAAAATCATTTGGACTGCGAGTAACATCTTCCTCAAACCTGCCAAAGAACTCGTCAATAATCTCCTTCTTTTCCTTTTCTGATCGACGTTCATCTAGACCAAACATAAAGATGGCTTCGCTCCATGCTCGGAACACATTAACGTATCTTCTTGCCTTGTGAGCCACGCTTAGTGGTTCATCGTCTAGGGTGTAAGGGTATAAAGATAAAGCGTTAACACATTTAAATGCCTTCCTTATTTCAGAATATTGTTTTATGAATGTGACATTGAGAGAAACAAATATCTCTTGTTCGGCTGTTTTATATACGACTGGATCTTGGGTCAAATGATTTACTCGGCGGCATCAGAAAAAACAAATGGTGTGCAGAAATGAAACACGGTGTGCAGAAATGAAACAATGTAAAACACTTTACCTTGGTACCAACAAAAACGTAAATGGTCTTTACCTAAGAATTCGTTATCCTTATATTTCAAAGAGTAGTCGAAATGGTCGAGCTTTATCTCGATGGATACAAGTTTTAAACCCGCCTTCAAAATCTTGGAATCTTCATACAAAAATGGCGCCTTAATCTCCTCTTCTGAACGATAGTAAAATGAAAAGTTTGTATTGAAAAATTCTTCCTATAAAAAAAAGAACGGCACAGCTACAACACGCATGCTAAAATAAAACATTGCATCCCCTTTGCATTATGGCGCCAAGGTAAAATTAAATTTGTTTACTTTTCTTAGCACGAAAGGACATCCCAGTTGTCTCATTTTACATTGTACATTCCAGAAAAAGGTCTCACCTTGGTTATTCGCCCCGCTGTTGCAAATGAAAGCCATAAGTCTCTAAGGTAAGGGATGACTTTAACTTTGTAAAGCGCTGTACTACCGGAATGCATGCCATCCTTCGTACCAACAATTGCTATGATAATGTGGGCGCCTAAAATATAATATCATAGAAAACAAGAGTGAGTGGAAAGAAGTTAAATTTTTTAAGACAAAAACTTACTTGAACGCTTGCAAATGGGTACGAGCCTTCAAAAATGTGTTAAAAAAAGTTTAATACCCAAAAATTCACTCACAATCTTTTTTCACAATTTAAATGAGCAAGTATAATTTAACATTTAAGTGGGAGGGGTTAATTATGTTTCAACTTAAGGTGCCCACTATTAATAGTCACACATGAATGGATTCAAACAGTAAATAGATAAATCAAAAATCGATCAATTTGAACACTTGCTGAGAGGTACATGCACCTATCTTCAGTTCTGTTGCCCGGTTTATGAGAATCGTCTCCCAGTCCTCAGCGGCCTGCTTTTTATATGCATCAAGCTCTTCATAACTGACTTTGTCACCTTGACCAATAATATCCCACTGAAGATTGCAAGGCCTGCAACGTAATGGATACAAATATACACAATTTTAAAAAATGGTATAATCTTTAAAGTAACGTGTTACCATATATCAGTATTGTTGGTTTTTATTTCTCTTCGTCAATTTAGCTTCTCACAAAGATTTTGAAACTCAGCACACTTATTTAAGATAGCAAGGACTATATACAACAAGATGTAAAAAGTAAGCAATTCATTTCAAGGTTCCTTTACACATGTCGGTATCATTGTGTATTTCATAGTATCATTTTTAAATTCTTTTTTGTTCACCTGGGTATCTAAGGCTTTTATAGCTTCTACATATAACAAATCCACCTTTTGCTCAACCAGTGCATCGCACTGCAGGATACAGCCAGGTCCACGTAATTCGGCGGCAGACATCGTTCATAGAAATTAGTACCACTGGCCAGGAGAAACACGTTCTTATCTTGAGGAAGAAAGTTCCTTTGATCTTCAAATAAACCTGTAAGAATACTCTACTATAAACAACTGGATGACAGGAATACAATAACTGGTGTTCGTGATCACAATCCCCATAAAATTAACAAGTAAACAGACACTAACTCTGTCAAATTTCGTACCTTGTGTCAGAAGGAATAATGATTTAAAATCGTTCCAGGGAATATCCTCGTACACTATCACAATAGGTTTTTCTTTCCCGTATTTTGCGCGTACAGCTCCTGAAAAGAAAAAACATTCTGAGTGTGACCTACGTTTTACTGCAGTCAGAATAACCAGAACTTGCAACTGGGTTCTAATCATTTAACTAATACACAAAATGCAGCGTTTGATCCATGCTCTCACTTTAAGACTAATATTCTTAATCTCAAAAAGTGCATTGAACTCTGTTAATGAATGAATGTGTACTATCTACTTTGAAAACTTAATACAGAAAAATATACCTTGTTCATGCAAAAACTGCGGTTTAAATGTCAAAATGTTCAAAATTAATTTTTAGAAGGTACTTATGATCTCAGTCATCAGTTTCATAGATGTTCCCCCATCTCCAGCACCGTAGTCACACACCACAAAAGGACGGTCTGTGCTATCAACACTTCCAGCTCATTAAAGAAAAAGCAATATCCTATATTGTAATACTAAAGAGAGGATCGCGGTTACTACGAAAAGACAGCAGGTTTTACAATATCTCGACTGCTTCTCAATTCTCTTAAACGACAAGGAAAGTCAAGAGATGGGGACGGTTAATTTTTTTGAGAAAATGTGTCATTCCACATGCATCAGACTAAAGTAGCTTTGAGTCATTCTATTATATGACTCGGCAAAAGTTGATTGGAGTAAAAATCTAAAGATAAAATTATTAAATATGCCTACCAACTGCTTGCAGTGCATAAGGCAATATGTTATTGTACAGTTTTTCGTAATTCACAGCATTTCCGCTCCAAAAATGTGATCCGTGATGTCTATCCAACAGTCTGTACACAGCTGCAGGATATTTTGATTGACGAATTTGTTTGCCAAAAGCTGTAAAAAATATAAGAAGGATCTACTCTCAGACCACGGCACATTGCTTGTTCTTTTCAATCTGTACTCTCTGCATAATTTATGATTTATGATTTATGTTTAAAAAAGAGATATCAACTTGCATCAATAGACATTTGTGTTTGCTTATTAAATTTCTCATCATAGACCTCAAATTGAGGTCTTGTGGACATAGATTTAACAGAAGTTTAATGTCCTTTGTTTCAAGCTACATGTACTCTTGTAGTAATCCGTTAGATCTTGATTACATGAAGTTATTGGGAGTGCCCACCATTAAGGGGTGGACTTGTGTTTGAAGTAACCAATCAGTGTATAGGTTATGTGATTTACAAAATAAATGATAAAGTAAAGCATAAAAAACTATGAACTTCATTCTTATGGGGGAGACTAACAGAGAATCGAGGGAGGGAGAGAGAGACTAGAGAGAGACGGGACTGGAGGAGGAGAGAGAGGTTATGATTGAAGCTTGGAGTCGATCATGCTTTTAGTTTAGTTAAATATATCCAGTTGAAGTAACAACATGGAGTCGTTTCATTCTTAAATTACGTGTGCAGAGTTAAAGGCACGGAACCTGGAAATCTCCGTAGCAGTTTTACAGATATCGTTATCAAAAGTGTGAGCCCATAGTGCCCAACTCCTAGGGTTATATTATAAAGGGTTGTTTAATGTAATGTGGGGGGTCGGGGGGGGGGGGCATATAAAGATCTCACACAAGTAAAGGGAAGGACCCTCACAAAACACTTATGTCTGTCGACCGAAGCATATATAGTCACAACTTTGACTTGATAAATTGCAAAATAGCATCAGCGTATCTGTGGTGTTTTTAAGCACAGTACATTGTACGAATATGACACAATAAATATGATATGAGCCTGAGGATACGACTCCTTTATGTCACATACCTGTTGAACACGGGACGCCATATTGTTGATCCATCTTGTTTTGTCAGAATAAATGTTATATGCTGAAGGCGAACACTACCGCGTTATGCGGTATTAACGTTCTATTAAAAGCCATTTTAAGTTGAATGGCCCAACTACATGTATATTTAAAACATGCTCTGCGTGTTAAACTCAGTAGTTAGATAAAACCTACTGGTACATGAAATGTCGTTTTGCGAGTCGTTAGGTGTCGAACTATAGTGCTCCGATATATATTTATACTGTACTTAAAAATTAATAATCAGTTCTTTTTTTTTTCAATTTTCTCAAAATTTGCACACGCGTCCTTTGTTTTTACCTGGTATCACTAGGCCATGACAAGCGATTAAGTGCATATACTTAAAGCATATACTTAAAGAAAGTACAGAAGAAAATCGCCCCTGAAGATATTTAATATAACTTTTGTTCAGCACTAGGAAATAAACAGATATAAAGAAATTGACATGAGGTAAAACACACTTACAAACAACAAATTAGAATACAATAATCTTATGCAACGTAAAGTATAGAAAGGACCTTACTATTATTACGAACAAAACTGACAATTAACATAATGTAACCATACTGTTGGCAAGGTAAAGGCCCATATGCTATGCACTGGGAATCCTTAACAAACATAATAACGCATTGACCCGCACTAAAATTTACTAAAGAGCGTCTTGCATGACTCTATGGATTTTTATAGAAATCTTACATGACTCTCTAGGAATTCCTAGGATTTACTATAGGATTCCTATCTAGTGTGTATATTCTATAGTGCATTTCTATAAGGGAAGTTGCTTCATTAATTCCACTTGATAAAGTTAGGAAGCTGCTTTCGCTTTTACGATATCGACATATGCCACAACCAGGTCATAACCAAAATCATTTGGACTGCGAGTAACATCTTCCTCAAACCTGCCAAAGAACTCGTCAATAATCTCCTTCTTTTCCTTTTCTGATCGACGTTCATCTAGACCAGACATAAAGATGGCTTCGCTCCATGCTCGGAACACATTCACGTATCTTCTTGCCTTGTGAGCCACGCTTAGTGGTTCATCATCTGGGTGCAAGGTATGAAGACAAAATGTTAACGCCTTTCCATTGAAATAGCTTTGTTTTATCATAATATTGTTTTATGATGTTACATTGAGAGAAACAAATATTGTTCGGTTGTTATATACACGACTGGTCAAACAATTTGTACGTACCGCACCATAAAAAATAAATCGTGTGCAGAAGATGCTTTTTAAATGAAAGATTCTTTTGAAATTAAACAATTTCCCGCAGTACAAAAAACTGTATGTTCTTACCTAAGAATTCTGCATTCTTATCTCTCAAAGTGTAGTCGAATTGGGCGACCTTTATCTCTATGGATAGCAGTTTTAATCCCGCCTTCAAAACCATGGAATCTTCGTCCAAAAACGGTGCCTTGAACTCCTCTTCTGAACGATGGTAAGATGGAATGTTTGTATTTAGAAATTCTTCCTATAAAAAAAAAACGTTAACACCACTGTTTCAATACGCATGTCAGTTCACCGTTGCATTATAGTACCAACGTCAAATCAGACTCGTTTACTTTTTTAATCCGGAAGGAGTAAATCCTCGCCCATCCAAATATACAAACTTAGTTGTCTCTTTTTACATTGTACATTCCAGAAAAAGGTCCCACCTTGGTTATTCGCCCTGCTGTTACAAATGACAGCCATAAGTCCCTTAGGTACGGGATGACTTTAACTTTGTAAAGAGTTGTACTACCGGAATGCATGCCTTCCTTCGTACCCTGAGTTACGATGATGATGTGGGCACCTTAAATATAACTTCATATAAAACGAGTGAGAGGAAAGACGTTACATTTTTATGACAATAATGTATACTTAAACACTCGTGCATGGGCACCAGGCCTACCCAACTACCAGACTCGGCACATAAGGATCCTGAATTAACCGGTATACCGGACCACACTACCCGTTTTCAATGTGTGTGTCAGATCGCATTTCGGAGTATCAGTCAGAACACCGACAGGATGAGCCCGCGGTCGTCCTACAGAATTTGTTCTGGGGTATGATACTCCGAAATGCGATCTGACACACACCTTGAAAACGGG